AAAGTGGAGGAGGGAAGCAGGAGAGAGAAAATAGAGAGATGGGACACAAAAAGGACTCAGCCAGACATAATCTGTGGCTTTGTAGATGGAGGAGAGGCCATGAGGCAAGGAATGCAGGCAGCTCTAGGAGCCGGAAAGCCAAGGAAACAGATGCTCTTGGAGAGCCTCCAGGAAGGAGCCCAGCCCCTACAAACCCCTGACCGCAGCCCAGTGAGACCTGGGATGCGCTTCTAACCTACAGAACCATGAGATAATAAATTTGCATCACTGAAGCCACTAAGTTAGTGGTAACTTGTTATAAGGCCATGAGAAACTAACACAATTGCTGAGAAGGGGAAAAGCAAAGGGGCTGCAATAGAAATTCCTGGGGGCCAGGGGTGCAGTACTGACTTCTCCCTCCCTGACTGGTAAAATCCTCTGCTGGTGTTAGGGGAGGCAGGGTCAGGTGATAATCTAGTTCCTTCCTCAGGGCTTTCATTTCATTCACTTCTGAGCAAATATAATGACCATGACAATATCCCCCCAACATACTCATTCTAACTCAGCCCCATCTGCCTTTGTCTCTTCTCCTTTCTGGGTGGAAGTCAAGGTAAGGGACAAGGGGAGACAAGCAGCAACCACAGTAACCCAGACGGGGGAGGGCGGAAATGATAGGGAAATAGAAGAAAAAGAAATTTCCAGTTTATTCATCAACATCTCCACTCCCCACCCTGCTTTAAAAAATCTGGGGAAGGACATGCAAAGTTATCATATGTTATTTATTATTATTATTATTAATTATATGAAATGTGGTGGAAATCTGAGTTACTAATTCTGTTCATTGCCCTAGGGGAAAAAAAGTCAAGGTCCTGGGACTGTCCTTTCCGCCTCCTTAAATCCTCTGGTTTATTCTTTTCTGGTTGGTGATCAAGACATTGAGGAGGAGCCTGCTGTACTTCAGAAAATATTATTGTTGCCCCTTCAGTCTTTTCCGGGAACCACAGCCCGGTGCTGGCTCAGCTTCCGGCCAAGGCCAATGGAACTTTCTGGAATTGTCTCAAATCTTGGTCACCCAACTCTGGAACACTCCATTCTTATTTACCGAGCACCTAAAGAGCAATACCGAATATGCACCCAAAGTTCTAGAATTCAAGGAATCTAGTCATGTAAAATGTTTTGATTTTTTGTTCTTAAAACCCAATATTGCTAAAAGAAAAGTGACCTTCTGTGTTCACTATCTCTGTGGCTTAGTGTAGCTTTTGAGACTGGTCTCAACGGCTCTGCTACTGACGATTGCCTGAGATTCACTGCACACCGCGTGCTTTTCTACTTCTGTGCCTTTGTTCACAAGCCCGCCCTTGCCCGGAATACCCCCTCTAGCCTCCCTGCCACCCCAGGAAGCCTCTTCAACATCAGATTCCCTCAAGCAGAGCAAACTGCTTGCTTTCTATGTGATCCCATGGAACTTTCTGTATATTCCTTCAGTGTAGCTTTTTACTGACCTGCCTCCTCCCTTGGACTGTGAGCATCTACAAGCCAGAAACATCTATTAATCATCATAGTAACCCCCGGAACCTAGCACCATGCCTGAAATAAATGGGCATTCAGTAAATACCCATCAAGCGAAAGAGTGAAGGACAGGATGAGTGAATGAGTGAACAGTGAACACATCTAAGCCTCTAAGAAGAGACAGAATATTCTAAATTATAGCAAAACATACTGATAAACCCATCTTCTGATGGCTGAATCTGTGTTCTCTATATTCTTCTGTTCTCCCCACAGCCTCCAGGACACACGAGGCCTTCAGTGCATAGCTAGCTTGTTCTCACTTTGCTCTTCAGTCACTCAAATGCAGAAGAACTAACCAAGCACTCGAAGGAGGTTCTAGAACTGTGCTGTCCAATAGAGTAGCCACTAGCCAGATGTAGTTACTGGCCACTTGAAATGTGGCCAGTCTACGTGCTGTAAGTATAAAATGTACTCTGAGTTTCAAAGACTTGGCATGAAAAAAAAAGGAAAATAGCTCATTAATCATTTTTATATGATTATATGTTGAAATGGTAACATTGGGATATTTGGGGTTAAACTCTATTATTAAATTTAATCTCTTTTTTTTTTAATTTTTCATTTTAATTCCAGTATGGTTAACATACAGTGTTATATTAGCTTCAGATGTTCTTTTTATTTTTTTCATGTGGCTACTAGAAATTTTTTTTCAAAGGTTTTATGAATTCGTCAGAGAGAGAGAGCACAAGCATGGGGAGCAGGCAGGCAGAGGGAGAAGCAGGTTCTCCGCTGAGTAGGGAGCCCAACTCGGGACTTGATCCCAGGACCCTGGGATCATGACCTGCGCTGAAGGCAGACGCCTAACCAACTGAGCCACCCAGGCGTCCTGGCTACTAGAAATTTTTTTTAGTTTTATATGTGGTCGTGGCTGACATATTTTCATTGGGCGGTCCTGTTCTAGAACAGTGTATCTCGGTCTTTTTTTTTTTTTTCATTATCATCCCCCTAAGGAGACTTTTTAGACTTTTTTTTTTTTTCCTAAATCCCTCTCTCCCATGAAATTTGAAAAACACAGATAGACCATATATCTGTTTAGGTATTGTAGCCCTTGTAATATCTAAGATTTTTTTCACCAGCCTCTCCCAAGAACCAATTTTGCCCCCTTAGGGGTAATATCTCCCATGCTGAGAGCGCATGTTGTAGAAGATCATGGCATGGTAAGATGGGAGAAGCCAGAATCCCTGAGTCACCACATGGTAAGCTGCTTTCCAGTGAGATCAAGAAACAGAGCATTATGGTGTAGGCCACCCAGATTTTAGGGCCGTTTGAGAGGCCACCACTGATTACCTTGATACACCAAATCTTTGATTTTACAATGTTATCAGTAAACCCAGAGAGATCTTGGAGAATCAAAAATCAGGGATCCACAGGGTCCAGGTGCACGAAGGATCTGGATATCTCAAGATGCCACACAACCTCACCTCACCCTCCCACCCTCCCCTGCACCAGCCCCATTATCTGGCGTTTGCTGCCAGCTTCCTCTGCTTGGTGTCAGTTCACCCCGCTGGGCCTTCTTCACTCCCTTAGCTTCCTGTGCCTGGATGACTTTCCCTGTTCCCCTAGCAAATCTTTCAGACTCAGCTCTAGTGCCACTTCCTCCAGGAAGCGCTACAGGCCCTCACCACTCCTGGACTCCACTAAATGCCAAATGTTTGGCCAGAATCCGAGCTGTCTTATGCATTAAGCTCTACAGAGAAATAAACCAATGCTAATACAAAACCAAAACGCTCAAGTTCACTCCAAACACAGGACGAGAAATCAGAGTGGAAAGATGCCGTATCTTAGCCTGCTACGCTTAAAATATTTTACTTTTGCAAATTTCGCAAAACACATGACCTCTGATCGCATTGCTAAGGCCCCTCGCGGGGCAAGAAAGGAAAGCCTGTACTGAGGAGCTCTGAAGCTGAAGCCCAGCGGGCTTCCACAAAGAACCTGATCTATCAGTGAAAAGGTTTTGTAGTCAGGTGCTCTGACTTGGAAAGTTTTAAAGTAATTCAACAAAATAAATCACGTGTTCAATTATGGTACATACAGTACGTGCTTAGCAAGCGTTTGACTGAATACTCGTCCGGTAGACGAGAAAGATTAGAAAATAAAAATTAATATGGCATTTAATAAGGCCCTAGATGTACTGAGGACCTAAAAAAAAGTTATCCTCCCTGGAGACAAAGAGGATAAGGGTGGGGAGCGGAGGGGGCAAGGGATGAGTGAGGGCTGGAAAGGGGCTCGTTAGAGGCCAGGGAGGGAAAGAGAGAATAAAGACCCTTAAAATAAGAAGAACCAAACACTGGACTCTACCGGAGGGAGAAGGGCTGAACGCCAAGTTCGGGGAGGGGGTATCTGAGCGCCACGGGGAAAGGAGAGGTTGGTCCGCCCCGCCCCCAGCAAGTCCCTCCTTCCGCCGCTCGCTCCGCCCCCAATAAAAAAAATCAAACCGGGAACCTCTACCCGGCCGCTTCCCATTGGCTATGCGAATGAGCGAAGCCCTCCAGGACCAATGAGCCGCGGCCACGGCTTAGCGAGCGCCTTCCGGCCCGTCCCCGCCGCGCCGCCCGGCGCCTGCCTCACCGGCCGAGGGCGGGACGTGGGGCGGCGGGGGCGCGGCGCGCGCAGCTCAGGCGACGGCGGGACTACACGGTGGCCCGGGCGCTCGGCATGGCTCGCCTGGTGCTGGGTAGGCGCCGGCCTCCTCGTCTCGGGGCGGCCGTCCGGGAGCTCCCGGCGGGGCGGGCGTGCGGCCTTGGCCGGAGCTGGGGTGGGGGATGGCGGGCCCGGCCGGCGCGGGGGTGCGGGGCCCTGCCGGATTCGGGGCGCGTGCGGAGGGGAGGCACGTCGGCGGGGCCCCCGCAGCCCACCCGGGGGAGCGTGGCGCGGCGGGGACGGGGAGCCCCGAGGCTGGGCGCGAACCCAGGGCGGAGGGGCGACGGCCGCGGGCCGGGCGGGCGCCGAGGCCGGGAGCTGCGTGGGGGCCGCGCGGAGTGCCTTGATTCCTGGCGGAGGCTGGGGCCGCGGGCGACTGAGAGGGTCAGGGTCAGGGTCAGGGTCAGGGTCAGTGCTCCCTTGTTCTGGGCCCGCTGTCCTCACGCCGGCGTGCGTGCGGCGCAGCCACGGGCTCGTCACCTGTTCTGTGGAATTCCCACTAATGAGAAGAACTGAAATATCAAAAACCCAGCCCTGGGATTAGACTGAGGAGTTGCCTGAGGTAGGGAACGGTGCCTTCCAGAAGCACTTTAAGTGTGGTTGAACTTTGGGAAACTAAGTGGAACGCAGACTGCCATGAATTATGTAAATGTCTGTTTTAGAAACTAGAGTGAGTGAGGGTGAGGAGGATCCCGTCTCTCTTCTGGCTCCCCTCGGCCCCACCCAGCCCGGGCGCTCTTACCGACTGGGTCCAGACCAGAGCCCCAGCCCGCCCCCGCGCTTACTAGCTGCGTGACCGGGAGCCAGTTACTTAACCACTCTGGGCTAGTACTCCCACTCTGGGTGGTTGTCAGGATGAGTGAGTTCATACAGGTCTCAAGAGGGTAGGCGAGATACAAATATTTGCTGTACGGCTGCGGAGAGGACACAGAGGAGGGGAAAAGATTGCAGCGTCTGTTTAGTTTCCTTCGGGTGAGTTCAGACTCGGCTCTGAAAGTCTGTGATTCTGTCAATCAACTCAGTATTTGAATACATGTCGTCAACCGTTTTTGGGAGCCCTCTTGGTTTCTAGATGACTGCTTTGGGATCATGTACTCTTGCTAGCAGGTGTGGGACAGAGATGTTGCTGATGCGGATTTGTACCATCCTTAACTACTCTGGACGAATAATGGGGAGCCACAGATGGCAAAACCATCTGCTCACATGGATTCTAGACACTCGGATGTTCCATTTTCCCATTGGTGCTCATTATCAGTGAGTGGAACTGCGATGTGAATTTCAGAAACAGGACATTATTAATGGAGATTGACCTACTTTATCATCTTAAGTGGCCCGGGGTTTTTTGTTTGTTTTCTTGAGGGTTTTCATAGGGGGTAGTTACTGGCTCCTTTCGTTTATACATCTTTTAATCTGTTTTCTGAGTATTCAGTTTCTCTCTAGCCCTACTAGGTCATACTGCCTTTTAAGGAATTTAGGTCTCAAATCTTTATTACCAAGATATGTCCACTGGAGAGCCATTTATAAGAAAGGGGAGGCTCTTGTGAGAATTAGGCAAAATTTACAGACAAATAAGAACTCCAGCAACATTCTAGAAAAAAAATGAAAAAAACCCAAGTCCATGTTATACTGATGTCATGACCATCTTTGTATGGAAAGGAAGCACATTCCTGAGGTAAAAATCATGCTCCATCCCTTGGGTGACTCCAGCCTGCTTGTAACAGCCTGCTATCCCTGATTGACAGGAGAAGGGAAGAAAACCAATTCTGCCACAATCTACCTAATGACCCTCCTTGGGATTATACCTAATGCAGTCTCCAGGCCTTTGGTTAAAAATTTGCATTGCATAACCATGTTCTATCTCTTTATAATGATGTGGCCTTAGGCAAGTTACCCTTTCTGTGGCTCCGTTTCCTGGTCTAAAAATGGGCATGATGATACACACCACATACAGTTCTTAAAATGAGTTAATATATCTTAGTTGTTTAGACAGTACCTGGTATGTAGTGTCATTTAAGCATTATTCATAGTTAACACGTCAGTTTCTGGAGAGTAGTTGGACAGATACATATATCAAAATATTAGCTATTCCCGCATCCTCCCTGTAAGATCATCTCTTAAGGAAATATTTATATTTATTTGAGGGGGAAGGAAAGTATAAGAATTTTCAGCATTAGTCTGTTAATAGTGACAGATTGGAAATAAATTCTGTTTGGGGTGGATTGGCAACGTGATAGAGCCATTAAGAATGGCTATATAGGGGTGAGGGTGATAAGGAATCCATAATTATATAGAAAATGTCTGTAACTCATTCTGAGTGAAAAAAGGTTACAGAAAAGAATGTATAGTAAGATCACATGCATATAAATATAAAGTTTTAGACCTCTGAATTGCATAGAGATGTCAGTAAGAATATTCACCAAAATATTGCCCATTCTAGTGGAACTGTTGATGGGTTTTCTTTTGCATTTTCAAAAATTCCACAGTGAGCTCAATGTATTGAACAAGTATCAATTAATGTTGATTTTATAAAAAATGATAAACTTTAGAAAGTAGAACTCCATGGAGGATTTTCCAGGACCAGTCTTAAGTTCTAAATGTGTTCCGAATTAGGACTCTGTCTTCTTGGATTCTTAATTTACTTGCTTTATTAAATGTCAAACTCCACTTAACCTTCCCGGCAGCAACAAAAAGATTATTGAGCAGCACAATCCAGTAGAGATAAGAATGCAAACTTTATATCTAATTTTAAATATTCTAGTAGCCTCGTTTAAAAAGGTAAAAAGAAATAGGCGAAATTAATTTTAATATCTGTTTCCCCAGTGTATATAAAATATCATTGTAGCATGTAATCAATATCAGAAATATTAACAAGATACTTTTCCCCCTACCAAGTCCTCGAACCTTAGTGCGCTTTTTATACCGTCAGTGCATGGTGGGGCAGCCGCATGTGATGAGGTCATCCTGTCCCCGGCTACCCCTATCACTGACCCTGGTTCCCTCCCTTCCTAATTCCAGGTGTTTTGTTTCATTATTCCTCCACTTTATCTTTAGCCTCTCCTGCTCCCCATATTTTTTTCCCTCATGCTCAGATCACTCTCGTCTTTAAAAAGAAACCTTCTACCCCACATTTGCTTGCCCTCTTGTGCTCTTTATAATAAGACTTGTTTTAAAGAGTTACCCGTTGTTTTCATCAACTTGTTTCCTCCTACTCTCTCCAGTCTTTTGCAGGTTGGCTGCTGCTTATTTTCACTACTCCACCACAACCGTCCTGGGCCCCAGGGATCGCTCATTAAATACAGCAGTTAGTTTTCGGTCTCCTATTTGATCTCCCAGTAGCGTGTCTTACTGTTGCCCTTTCCATCTTTCCCTGGGTTTGGGTGACACCGCTCTCCCACATTGCAGCCAGAAAACTCTCTAGAAAGCAAATCTGGTCATTCCCCTGCATGATAACCTTTTATGTCACCCTTAGTAAGGTCCACAGTTCTATTTTCATAAGTTCCTACAATATTAGCCGTATCTATAATTCAGATGCAGTGGTTTGGTTTTGTTTTGTTTGTTAAAGTAGTCTCCATGCCCAGTGTGGGGCTTGAACTCACGTCCCTGAGGTTGAAAGTTGCATGCTTTGCTCTGCTGACTGAGCCAGCCAGGCAGCCTTCAGATGCAGTATTCTTGAACAATATAATTACATTGTTTGTTCATGCCCATGACTTACTGAACCATTTTATCCTGAGCACTAAAAAGACAACAGTGGTTTAACGGGAAGAACTTGGAAATAGAAGTCAGAGACCACAGATGGGTCACTGGATGTACTTTTGTTTCCTTATTTGCAAAAGAGGGATTATTCCTGCTCTCTAGTTAGTAATGCTGTGAAAAACCAAGTGGTCTAATGTATTTGAGAGTGATCTGAAAATTGAAAGTGCTATGTAAGTAGAAGGTGGAAGATTTAGCAGCAGAACAGTTAACATTGGTGTATATGCCTTCCAGAAGAAATTTACCAACGGGTTATTCAAAAAGCTCCATTTGAAATCTTCCAAATTCTGTCTACAAGGCATATGAAAATACGACTAAGATGGCATGTGCACACACGCCTTAGAGGACGGGTCAGTTTCACAGTTTGTTACATTAGTAGATGAAAAGAAAGAAAGTATATGATCATCTTCATAGATGCTAAAAAGAAAGTAACAGGAATTTCTCTAATACCGTAAAGTTTATGTTGCAACCCAAAAGCCAGCAAATGAGAAAATGTTAAAGTCAAGAACAGTCCATTATTAAGTATTGTTCTGGAGGTATTAGATGCAATGTAACTGGAAAACAAAGAAGTCCTATATTATATATTTAAAAGGAGGAGGTGGAATTTTGATAGTACTACCAATTCAGAAAACAAAAATATTCATAGATCAGTTCAGAACTTGTTTTCCTATATAATTGTTAAAAATTACATTTCAGTTCGTAGAGTTGCCAAGAAAAATGCACTTGGTCTACAGTGTGGCTAAACTGTGCTATTAATAATACGACAAGAGGGGCACCTGGGTGGCTCGTCATTAAGACTTTGGCTCAGGTCATGATCCCAGGGTCCTGGGATCGAGCCCCTCATCGGGCTCCCTGCTCGGCAGGAAGCCTGCTTCTCCCTCTCCCTCTCCCACTCTCCCTGCTTGTGTTCCCTCTCTTGCTGTGTCTCTCTCTGTCAAATAAATAAATAAAATCTTAAAAAAAAAAATAATTCGACAAGACTCCATCCTCGCTTTATAATATTTACATGACAATTCTTTGTAAGCTCATCCAACAGCATTGTAAATGCCTACTGATTGCCGTGAATAGTGTTAGCAGAAATCAAAGTATTTATAAAAGCAATTATTGCCCTTGATAGAGTCCCAGTTTAGTGGAGGAAACAACTGATTTTTTCCTTCAGAAGAAAGTAATAAAGGTAGTGTTCTAATATTGCAACTGCATAACACAAGAAATAAATGCTGTGTAGATTGCCCAGGGTCACAGGGTAGTCTGCCAGCTTCTCAGTGTCCTCACCCATAAAATGGCCATGGTAGTATTACCTCACAAGGTGACTGTAAAGAATGAAGGTGCTCATGCATAAGCACGAAGCAAGAAATCTTTTCCCAGTTGCAGCTCAAGAGGCCAGAGTGTGGCCTCTGTGTCCTTGCTGTGCCCTGCACCAGGGGGAGTGAGATTCCAGGGGCTACGAGAGCAGCAAGAGGTCGAGAGCAGCAAGAGGTCGGGGATTCAAAGGGCCCTGACCCGGGAGGACATTGGGCAGTTGAAGAAGACTCCCGTTGCCCAGTTTGCTGCCAGGGCATGAACCCTTTCGCTCATGCTGTGCTTTGTGTCATTACTGCAGGTCTGATGAGCTGCACCTTCTTCCTGGCAGCGAATGGTCTCTATTCTTCCAGCGATGATGTGATTGAACTAACTCCATCAAATTTCAACCGAGAAGTTATTCAAAGTGCTAGCTTGTGGCTTGTAGAATTCTATGCTCCATGGTAAGCATAAAGCCATGTTGTGGGTTATTTATGGTACTTCATAAAATTAGGGAAAATACTATATGAAAGTATGATTTTATTTAGTCATCTAGTTTATCTAGTTTACTGCTTATTTAAAAGAAGTAGAGAGGGAAGTGGGAGACTCCCCAAAGTGGTGTGAGTTAAAGGCCATGGAGATTGAGTCCACTGAAAAAGAATGGTTGGAGTAGCTGATTGCTGCAAAAAAGAAGAAAGAAAATCTTTCTTATAATTTTAAGAAGGTATATCTCAATGATGAGGTAGGTAGGAGCTTGATGGAAGGGAAACTCATTTATGCTGAAAGAATATTGGGCACAGGAAAGGGAAGAACTAGTGATTGATTCCATTGTGTCTTGGAGAGAGTTGCTTCCAGAAATATGTCATTAAAAACTGGTTTAATTTTAAAATTCTTCTCTTGCCTTACATGCATTGCTGGAAAAAAAACAAAAATAAAACAAAAACCCTTGTGGGGTAAAGATGCAATTTTCGTTGAAATTAATGGTGCACAAATAGAATCAAAATACAGTATTGCACTAATTGTTGATGTAGTTAAGCATATAACACAAACAAAACAAAAACCCAACAAATAGAGAAGTGTAGAGACAGATGAATGGAAACTGCAAAATGTGCACAAGGCTGTTATTTCTGTAATCTAGCAGGCCAGGCCGAGGGTACCCTGAGGAGGCCTGAGCCCCAGCCAGCTGTGTCCTGCAAATGACCTCAGGAAGTACTTTTTTTTTTTTTTTTAAAGATTTTATTTATTTATTTGACAGAGACACAGCGAAAGAGGGAAACAAGCAGAGGGAGTGGGAGAGGGAGAAACAGGCTTCCCACAGAGCAGGGAGCCCGATGCAGGGCTCGATCCCAGGACCCTGGGATCATGACCTGAGCCGAAGGCAGACGCTTAACCGACTGAGCCACCCAGGCGCCCCCCTCCGGAAGTACTTTTAGGTGTGAGCTGCACCCCCTACACTCACGTAGGTGTAGTAAATGAAATTCTTACAGATTCTTTTACCTGAGGGGGTGCATTGTAGGATATGCTTGATGAAAGGTTTTCCTGTATTGCTTTAATTTTTTCCTTTGCAAGACCGTGAAACTGAGTTTTGGAAACTTATTACCAGCCCTCATGGACTATGTCACTTAACGTTCAATGTAGCAAATTAAGGTAAAACCCTCTACTTGTATGTTGCCACATTGTGAATACTATTCATCTGAGTGCCTTTATTATTTTTTTTAAAGCTTCTCTTTTTGTTAAATCCAAGCAAGCATTCTATATGGATTAGTTCATTCGTATTAGTAAATGTACAAATAGTAATTATACAAATTGTTCTATTGTTGAATGCCTTTGTATGCAATTTTTACAAGTTAGATTTTTTTTTTATCATTTATGGTAATTGACATTGTTTTGGGGAGCTACGATATAAAGAGAATATACCTCATTCCAAAACGAAACCAAAGAGCATCATTGAGAAGGCCGGATCTGGACCCTGTAGTTAACGGTTACTGTTACATGGCAGTTTTGCTTCGTAATGTTCTGGGGAACAGGCAGTCTCATTAGAGCAGGTGTTTTTCTCCTCTTCTTGTGTTTGGACTTGGCAGCTTGGTGAAGGCTTTGAATTCTTTCCAGAATAAAGATTTTCCTTTTCTGTGTGTAAAATAGAGCATATAGGGTTGCAGAGGAAACCTAAAATATCAAAATAACATTATCAAAATATTAAAATAAATCTTGATGTGGTTATCTAGTACTTGTTCACTGGGACAGTAAATAGCAAGATCTAGCAGCAGCCCTAACACCTAGACACCATGATCGTGAAGTAGTGATGAGCATAAACGAGGTTGGAAGAGAAGTGTGGGAGCTGTGGTAGTGATCGAAGAGTAGCTGTGAGTTTTTGTTTGTGACAGTTGGTGTGTTGTGAATGTTCATCATTGAAGGAAAGCCTTCATTTCCATTGCAAGTTAGCAAAATAGAGGTGTTCCTCTCCCCCCCATCAAAAGTTCCTGGAGCCCCTGGATTTTTATCCACCCACACCTTCGGGGTCTGTGGACCGCAGGTGAGGAACCCTTGGGTTAGAGGTGTGCTATATTTAGATTTACGTGGCATTTTGATCTGTCTTTACTGTGCTTCATATCGAAATTGAAGGGAATATACACTCTGACAATTTCTGATTTGAGTCCTTTCATAGTATAAACCCAAATTAAAGAGGCACAAAGTCCTATAAAATTTTGACTCCTGGACTTCTAAGTAGGAGCACGTGGACAGCAAAAGATACTAGATAGAAGTATGTAGAAGCAGCATTCCAGGACATTTCTCAGAAGATCCTAACTTAAAATATTGGATTAAGCTTAGGCCCCTGTGGGCCTAAGTGATTAAAAACGTGGGACCTGGAGTCACAGACCTATCCAGCAGCTCTGTCACGGACGACTGTGTGATAGTGGACAGGTTTCTTAACTTCTCCACCTCTGTCCCCTCATCTGTAAGATGAAGATAACAAGGCCTGTCTTCAGTGTTGTGCCGATGAAATGAAATCCTGTATGAAGGGCCCCTCATGGTCCTGGCACATGGCATTTGCTCATTAGGTCCTTAGAAGCCTAGTTAGGAGACTTTACTTTGTTTTTGTTTTTGTTTTTAAAAAAAAACACAACTAATCACCTATGGGTAAACTGGTTATGGTATCTTCATACAATGGATGTTATTCAGCCATGAAAATGAAGAGTATAACATCTGCAACCTTGATAAATGGCATAAACGTAACAGGTTTGTGTATATATAACTTTTTGTTTTTTTAAGGATTTTATTTATATGACAGACAACCAGAGAGAGAACACAAGTAGGGGGAGTGGGAGAGGGAGAAGGAAGCTTCCCGCAGAGCAGGGAGCCCGATGTGGGGCTCGATCCCAGGACCCTGGGACCATGACCTGAGCCGAAGGCAGACGCCTAGCGAACTGAGCCACCCAGGTGCCCCATATGTAACTTTTTAAAAGCACCCATCTGTATATATTATGTTTCACAATAATTTATTTCAAATACTGTTTACTAAAAGATTATTAAAGTTGTTTTTCCTTGTGTTCTCGTCTCCGTCTCTCTCTTGCTCACTCTTGCTCTTTTATCACCACCTTGTGGTATCGAGAACTTTTCAGCTTGCTAGGCTAACAAATTTGGGATTACATGAACATTTTTAGCCCCACATGCTGCTGTGGGAGCCAAGGAGCATTGCGATTTAGGCCCTAATACTGATGGCCTAATCTGTAAAACGAAGAGGTTGGATAGATCAGGGAATATCAAATCTTAATGGGCTTAAGGATCACTAGTTGATCTTACTAAAATGTGGGTTCCTGAACCCCTTCTCTAGGCGTTCTGAGTTCATGGGGCCCAGGAATCTGCATTTTGCCTAGCCTTATAGAACTCAGACCACACATTGAGGTACACTTGACCAAATAAATGGTAAAGTTCCCACCCAGGGATAGAGTTACAGATGACAGTTTAAACTCTTTAAATATAATTTAATTAAACAGTAATTTGGAAACTTTAAGTTAGCATATGAAAAAGGATTATAGTAAAGCCCCTTAAAATGGCAAGTTCCTTCTTGTCACCGATCAGGTTTCATTAGCACACGTACTCCCTGCAAGCACCCACCCCTGTGCAAGTCACTCAGTAGACTATTGGTGGAATTTTTTTTTTTTTTTTTTAAAGATTTTATTTATTTGACAGAGCAAGCACAAGCAGGGGGAGCGGCAGGCAGAGGGGGAGAGAGGAGCAGACTTCCCCTGAGAAGGGAGCCCAATGCGGGACTCGATCCCAAGACCGAGATCATGACTGAGCTGAAGGCAAACGCTAAACCGACTGAGCCACCCAGGCTCCCTGGGGGAGTATTTTTGAATTGGGGATCAAAGACATTAATTGTTGCCTTGTGTTTTCATCTCCTAAAAGGTGTGGCCACTGCCAGAGGTTGACACCAGAATGGAAGAAAGTAGCAACTGCATTAAAAGTAAGTTTCTAAGATGTCCACATTCACCTGTGAATGTATAAATAAGTATGCAACTGGGCTTAATGTAGGATAGGAAGTTAATTTGCATATTAAGCTCAGAACCCTTCTTCTGGCGCCAGAATCATGTAGGGAGCAAAGGGATAATATACATTTAATTTTTACGTTGTCTGTTTTTGTTAACTCAGCTTTCCAGATTAGTGACATAATTACTCTTCGTCATGGTAATTCTGGGAACTGCAGAGTTCCCTCTAGGGCTGACTTACAGTTCACCCATCATTCAATCATATAGGAATGATTTTCCAGGCTAGAGCCTTCATTAATTCTGTTTATCAACCTAACCCTGCCCTTTATTATCTTGTCCCTGAGTCTACAAGAATCAAATGGTGGGTTTTTGTGGAATCTGCTCCAGTTGAAAGAAAAATAGATGATACTTTTATGTTTTCACAGGATGTTGTAAAAGTTGGTGCAGTTGATGCAGATAAACATCAGTCTCTAGGAGGTCAGTACGGCGTTCAGGGATTTCCTACCATTAAGATTTTTGGCTCCAACAAAAACAGACCAGAAGATTATCAGGGTAAGAACTTCTCCTAACTACTCCATTCCCCTGGTTGGAATTTTAATTTGAGCAGGTAGGTAAAAATTAGGAGGAAGGGCCCATTTGTTTTTGTAAATAAAGTTTTTTGGAACGCAGTCACAGCTGTTTACATATTGTCTGCAGTGGCTTTCACACTAAAATGGCAGCATCGAGTAGCTGCAACTGATAGGAAGGCCTGCCCAGCTGAAAATAATTGCTGTTTGGCGCTTCACAAAGAGTTCGCCAACTTTTGGTCTAGAGTGAGAAAACCCTCTCTTTCTTGCTAGTACATTTCTTAATCTGGTATATTTCCAGATAGATTGGAGGAAGGGCGCTGGTTCAGAGGATGAAGGCATCTAGAGTTAGAGAAGGAACAGAAGGCTTTTGTTATGTGCAGGGCTTGCCCTTCTGTGTTAGAAAGTGTCGGCCAAGGCCGCAGAGCGACACGATTCAAATATATTCTGAGTGTTGCTGTACTGTATTTTCTTTCTAATACCAGGTCTGAAAGGGTTCTCAGACGTTTTTCTCTCTTCCTTGGCAGTTTGATAAACTATTTTTTTAAAAAAATACGAATTTTTCCAGAGATTTTATTAGAGTTTTGCCTTTCAACTCTGAAGATAGCCTCATGGCCTATATTATCCACACACTTCCGAATCAGTTAATAGCCCCCTGACTTTTTCTTGAGTATATAGTTTTTGGTTAAATTTCCAAAGGCTGTTGTCATTATTGAGTTTCAGTTACAGGGTTTATTACTTCTTAGATTAGGATTAAATTCAGTTAGAGAACCTAAAAAAGCCCAAGATAACTGTGTTGTAAGCAAGGTAGAAAAAAAGAGGCCTGGATTGCTTTCCAGTTACTTGGCTTCAGGCATTTCATATCCTACTTTGTCCACATTTTTTTTTCTCTCCGTTATCGTAAAAATAGTTTCTTCTGTTTTTCTCAATTGGTAATTTGTATTTAGAAATGTTCTCTGCTTTCTTAACTAGATAAGTTTCTTATTTGTGTACATGTTGCATGTTCGGTAAACGTTTGTGAGTTACTCTCATTTGTAGATGGTATTAATAGGTGAGCAGGAGGATATTCTTGTTCACGCTAATAAACTAAAACTCAAGAAGGGGATTTGGTCTTCCCAGTGAAAAGTCTAATGCAAAATGCATTGTAGGGAGAACTTGGCCCTGTGTTAAATACACGTGTGTACTGTTGGGTGTGTTCAAACATCCGATAAAGCTGACAGATTTAGGTAGTGTCCTTCAGGCACACAGCTCACCCGCCATCTGTCCATCCGATTGTCCTTTGTCTTCCTCTAGGTGGCAGAACTGGTGAAGCCATCGTAGATGCTGCCCTCAGTGCCCTGCGCCAGCTCGTCAAGGACCGCCTTGGGGGAAGGGGTGGCGGATATAGTTCTGGAAAGCAGGTAAGGCTGTATAAAGTTCATTTTTAATGTGTGTGATGGTTCTGATGCCAGAATATGGACTCCTTGTAGAGGATAGTTTGTTTTTTAAGTCATTACTACTATTGTAGATAGTGAACTTTCAGTTAAAAAAATAATACGAGGTTAGATCAGCTGATGCCAGAGGGAGTCAGCCACCCATCCTGTTCATTTGGCCTCCTCAGAAGTCACTAGTCCCAGGGCAACTTGGCACAACTGTAGGCCAAGATCCAGGCCACAAATGGGCTTCCTCGACCCACTGCTAAAATGGAAGAGTTTGAGCTGTAAACAGAGAAAGAGCTCCAGGCCAGGGGAGCCGGGCTCTGGGATCCTCTGGCCCTGGTAGTTCTAAAGTGGAGAGAGAAAGAGACCAGATGGGCTTTGGGCAAAGAGGGATGAAATTTGAATGATCTCTTGGCCTATATCTGGCAATCAGCCTGAAATCCTGGAAAATTCTATATAAATAGACAGGGAAGAAGAGAAAGAAGTTCTTGTTCCGTGGATTGGTATTTTTAGATGCTCATGTATGAGATGTGATGTTTAACCATGATGTACTTAACATTCTTGTGAAGAGGCATTAAATTCTTACAGATGGAGATAAAATGGCCCTTGACTCTTAAAGAGACCAGTAAAACTAGCTTCCTTACACAGACTGAGAACTTACCCAGAGATTCCACGCTCTTGCCTTTTATTTCAAACTCCGACATTTAATGGGCACAGTTGCCTCCCCTGTCTCCATGGCTTTTGGCCCAGGCACCAGAAAGCAGTAAACAGAACTGACTGCCTCTGAGCTTTGGTACTCAAGAAAATTCATTGGGGGGCACCTGGCTGGCCCAGTCGGAGGAGCGTGCGACTCTTGATCTTGGGGTTGTGAGTTTGAGCCCCGTGTTGGGTATAGAGAGGACTTAAATAAAACTTAAAAAAAAAAAAATTCTTTGGAAAAAAAAGGATTAAATGTTCTATTTAGCTCTCTTGACTGGTAGGGATCTTATCTATGGAAAGGTAGCAAGTGTGGTACGTTTAACATCCTGGGATGAATGAGCAGCTGTGCCCAGTCTGAATTAGAGTAGTGTTACTAGGTGGTTCTGTGAGCCATGTGGGGTTTCTCTTAACAAAATAGCAGATGATATTATATTGTAGGGATTGGTAAATGATAGTAAACACTGCTTATCATGCAAAAGTACTATTAAGGAATGTCCCCAATCTGAGTAAAATAGTTTTTACTTGAAAGAAAAGCTCCAAACTTTGTTAAGATGTGGGTGAGATTGTTAAATCTATTTAGAACAGGAATAGTGTGCTTTCTGGCCATGGGTAGTTTAATATTTAATGTCACCCGTGACAGGGTAGGAGTGAGAGTTCAAGCAAGAAGGATGTCATTGAGCTGACGGACGACAGCTTTGATAAGAATGTCCTTGACAGTGACGATGTTTGGATGGTTGAATTCTATGCTCCTTGGTGTGGACACTGCAAAAAGTAAGTGCTCTCTACCATGTTCTTCGAGTCACAGTGCTTTCAGTATAGTCACCTCGCTTGTTTTGAAGAAGCTGCCCCAGACCCAGGTAATCACTGAGATCTCCAGAAAAACTCTGGACTCTACATGATTATTACACGTTGGCATGAGAGCCAGGAGTATCTTCTGTCGTCGTGTTTTCAGAGATGCGCAGGGAGCCAGCATCCCGATCTGGGGAGGGCAGTCACAAAGGCCCAGGAAGGGCAAGTGGAAGGGTGCATCACTTGTGCGCCCCCCCCCACCACCACACACGCAAAACGTGTGTCCAGATCTCACTGGACTGGGCAGAAATACACACATCAGCTTAAGTATTTATGCCAAGAGTTAAAATATACTTTTAAAGTGCAAATATTTTTCTATAGCCTCGAGCCAGAATGGGCTGCTGCAGCTACAGAGGTGAAAGAGCAAACGAAGGGAAAAGTGAAGCTCGCAGCTGTGGATGCCACAGGTAACCAGCTTCTAGCCAGCCGATATGAGGTGAGTGTGTCTGTAGGGCTCATTTCTTTGAGAAATACACCGTATTTTCAACTATTACTTCATCCAGTATTCTAAGCCTCCCTGTGTGGTAGGAGGGGAGATGTTTGGCCATTTGTCATGAAACTAAATTACTTGATTGTTAAAACTATTAAGTCTTCGGGCGCCTGGGTGGCTCAGTCGGTTGAGCGACTGCCTTCGGCTCAGGTCAGATCCCGTAGTCCTGGGATCGAGTCCCGCATCGGGCTCCCTGCTCGGCGGGGAGTCTGCTTCTCCCTCTGACCCTCCCGCCTCTCATGTGCTCTCTCTCTCTCATTATCTCTGTCAGGTAATGGGTAAAATCTTAAAAAAAAAAAAAAAATTATTAAGTCTTCAACCCAAGACTTTTTTTTTTTAATCCAATTTTTGCTGTGTGCTTAATGCGAATCCTCAGCTTGCCCAGGCTTTTACAAGTCGCTCATTGCTTTTGAAGTTGGTCCATTTGTTCTAGAGCAGATATGTTGTATTAAGTATAAATGCAAGGTTTGAATAAGACTTGGCTGTGCCTGGTAGGCAGACTGTTAAAACCGCCTGATTAACAGACCTTTGTGTCTCATCCCTGATCACTGATGCAGGCCGGGGATATTATGTTAAATTACCTATAAGGTAGTTTTAGAATGCATAAAGGTTATTTTATTTCTTATTAAATGTTAATTTGATTTTGTCTTGCCTTTTCTTTTTAATAGATTAGGGGATTTCCTACAATCAAGATATTTCAGAAGGGAGAGTCTCCTGTGGATTATGATGGGGGGCGGACACGATCTGACATCGTCTCCCGGGCCCTGGATTTGTTTTCTGAGAATGCCCCCCCTCCTGAGCTGCTGGAGGTAAACCGCTTCCATCGCTCGAGATAAGAAGCACTTACCCAGTCTGATGGCAGGGGCACTAACGCAGCAGTGACACTCGTTTTGTCCTTTCAGATGAGCTCTTTCCCTTTTAAGGCGCTCTCTTTAAAGTGTTACTGTACTTTGAGGTGGGGAAAACCTGTCTGATAAATTGCTGCTTTTCATAACTTTTAGTACTAAAATAATTACACTCTGAGGACAGGTGTACCAGGCTGCTTAAAAACAGAATGCATCCAGTCACGCCGTCCTCGGTCTCCAAGTCATAGCTGTTATTTGCGGAGAAGCACGTGACAGGCATTGTGCTGGTGCTTTTCCGTCTGTTTCTCTCAGTTCTCACATGAATGCATAGAGGGAAATACTGCTTTCATCTCCATTTTACATGAGGAAACGGAGGCCCAGAGAGCCTCAAGCGCTCATAGATGTATAATATGCGTATATCTGTCTAGCTAAACAAGTCCGTGTCGGAGCCAGGCCGCACCCACACCCTTTGTGGTTTGAGAGAGAGAGAGAGAGAGAGAGAGAGTGTGTGTGTGGTGTGCTTGCCGGTTCCTCGCTGGCCCCCCAGGGGAGGGCTTTGGGACCAGTCGCAGAAGTCGCACACAGAGCAGAGCTGTCACTGGTGCCGAATCGCGTATAAGGCCGTCGTATTCCGGAGGAGTCGCTCGGTCTGCTCTGCTCTTGAGTGAATGTGACGACGCCAGTGTTGGTTGTCAGGCTGACCTTTGGGTTCTGTGTCAGTGGCCTTCCACCCACCCGTTGTCTTCTGGGCCCGCAGATCATCAGTGAGGACATCGCCAAGAAGACGTGTGAGGAGCACCAGCTCTGTGTCGTGGCCGTGCTGCCCCACATTCTGGATACCGGTACGCCGAGCAGAGGCCCCCTTGCCCTTCCGTGCGCTGCTCTCCCTGCTCTGCGGGTCTTTTCTCGCCGAGGAGTGTGGCGGACGCCTTTATCTTTACCTTGAAAACACTCTGTTTAAATTAGGAGCTGCTGGCAGAAATTCTTACTTAGACGTTCTTCTGAAGTTGGCGGACAAATACAAAAAGAAAATGTGGGGGTAAGTTACAATCTCAGTATGACTTGGCTGGGAGAGCGTCGTGCTCCTCAAGTTTCTGCTTCCCACTCTGTTCTCTGTAGGATGTGTCCCTGTTTCTCTTTGGCATTTTTTTAAGTTTAGGAGATGAATAATTACCATCTAGAAGGAAAGGAGTGCAGGTCTCTTATTTCTAAGACACTCATCTGTGCCACGGAGTACATTTTTCTCATAGCAGTCATTTTAAGTGGTGGTTGGGGTCCCAGCTAGCAAGCAAAACCTGAGTCGCCTCACTGGACTCTGGCACAGCTTTGGAGGCCAAAGAAAGAGAAGGAGAGGGGTGTTTTCTTACCCTTTTCCAAGTGAGGGCTGATACAGGCAGATTTTTAAGACAAAGTATGTCTGCCTCCTGTTGAACCTTTTGCTTCTCCTCCTCTGTATCTCTCACTGTCCCGCCTCCCTCCTGCCCTTTTCAGGACAGGTGACCCTGCGCTGCCTGGCTGAGTTCAGCGCAGAGTTGTGTGCCTACAGAACAGCGCCTTTTGGCACCCGTTATTCCTCACCGTTGTAGTAGTTGAGTAAGGAAATGCAGCTGAGCATGTTCATAGGTATTGAATAATGACATACCAGTAAGTTTTGCAAAGAAGTTATGATGCTTCTAGAGAGCGTGCCTAATCCCCCAAATGATATTAGTAGGATTTCAGGTAATAAAGACAGAAGATTTACCAGGTTTAGTGGACAATACTTCAGGGGCTGGGAGGAAAATTTTGTAGATCGGGGGTACTTCTGGAGGTACAGTTTAGGGAATATAAGAGGAACTGTAGTTAAGAGCACATCTAGAATACATTATTTTTGTAAACTTCCTTTTTATTTCTATATCCATTTCATTCCATAAAATATTTGGAGTGTAATCTTTTAATACCTGCTAATTAGATTTCAACTAATTTGAAAGGGATCCTTACCCTAAAAACCAGCCTGTTTTTCTAGGTGGCTGTGGACCGAGGCTGGAGCCCAGTCGGAACTTGAAAACGCGTTGGGGATTGGAGGATTTGGATACCCTGCCATGGCAGCCATTAATGCACGCAAGATGAAATTTGCTCTTCTAAAAGGTTCTTTTAGCGAGCAAGGCATTAATGAGTTTCTCAGGTAATTTCTTGCTTTCTTGAGTTGTTTCTATTTTGTGGCTTAGTTCTGTGATGCTGTGGGTTCAAAACTAGGTTTACATAGACCAGGCAGTAGATGGAATTACTTTGCATTTGGCATTCTGGAGAATTAGATGTTTGAGTTCTAAATCATCTTCCTGTAAGAGCCATGTTCTCTTTCCTGTGGAAGGATTCTATAGAGTGATGGCCACCTTGCCATCTTGTGCCATTGGCATTGAGCTCTTCCTGGTTCTCATAAAAGTCTCACATGGGCTAGAAGGAGCCCTTTCTCACCCATTCCCACCCTAGCACGCTTGGTGCCCCTGACCTCACGTAGTACCCCGTCCATTTCTGGCCGTTAGCTCTAGAAGGTTGTTATGTGAAAACGAGCATACTTCTGAAGTGACTGCAGCGACGTGCAAACAACACTAAGGGTTCCTAAACCCAATGTACGGAGCTCTCTGTCTGTCCTGCTCTCCAGCTCATCCTAAAATTGACTTAATCACCTTCCGGCCACATGCAAGGCATTGACGCTGCACTGTTTTGGTTAATGCCTCTTCCTCAAAACTATGACTTTCACAAAGGTGAACCTCTTCGACCCAGACCTTGTCTCTCTTCACTACTGTAGAGCTGATAAGAAGCTCCTGGTAGTTGATTAACACATATTTTGTAGGTTTTATGTATCATATACTGTATTCCTACAATGAAGTAAGCCCCAAAAAAGAAAATGTAATTAAGAAAATCAGAGAAAATACATTTACATTACTGTAGTGTAAAAAAATCTGTGTAAATGGACTCGTGCAGTTCAGCCCGTGTCTTTCCGGGGTCAGCTCTACTTAGAAGTATGTCATCCTTTTTCAACAGCTGATTCCAGTGTCAAAAACCATAGGAAATGTATGAGGGTAATAATTACGTAACAAGACTGAGCCTTTGGACTCACTCACTGGAAACGACAGGTTCTAACCCCAGCTTTGAGTTTGTTCACGTTTCTTTTCAGCTAGTTTTCCTTTTCTGGTTTATTGTTTGTTGAGCACAGAGGAGGTAAATAGTTCATGGAACTGTCAGGGTTGCACCTGTGTTCTACATCAAATTTGATAATTATTGTGTACTTAATTTGTATTTTAGCAAAGTAAGTTTTTCTTAATTATTGGTGATAACTGGTTTTATCTGATGCCAAGACCTGAGTAATTCCACGCCTGGTTGCATTGTTGTCCTCGCTTGAAAAGATAATATTTACTGTTCAGGAGCAAGAAGTGAGAAATGCCTCTGCAGGAACCTAGTAGGCAAGTCGTCATTTTAAAACTTGGTTTCTTCATCCGGCTGTGCTTGCTTTGGTCATTTCTGCCACAGGGAGCTCTCGTTCGGGCGGGGCTCTACAGCACCTGTAGGAGGTGGGGCCTTCCCTGCCATCAGCGCCAGAGAGCCCTGGGACGGCAAGGATGGCGAGGTGAGTCCCCGGGGCGGGGGGCCGTGTGCCTGCGGGACTTGTCATTGGGGTGCTTGTCCAGCCTCTTCTTACTCTCCCTGTCCCTGGGCGTCTTTGCTGTTTGTAAGCCCAGTCCTTTCCACCAGACGTAAGCCTTAGCATGCTGTCAGAAACGGGCCCTGGGTATTCTTGACAGAGACGACGAGATAAATTTCAGTAATGACGTTTCTTTCCTGATTATCACCCCGAAACTGAACATTTAACCTGGAATTCACTTACTGTGTGTCTGAGAAACACAAAATTATAGCTTTGAAATGAGCGTTTATTCTAGTACACTTCTGCCCCTTTTTCCTCAGGACAAGCTAAATGGCTGTTGGTGTTAAAGGGGTGGTAATTTGTTGAATTCATACTTCACCCAAGTTCTCAGCTTTTCCAGCTATGAAATAATAGGCAGTGTTAAAAGCAGGAGGTGGGTTAGGGAGGAACGAGCTCTGTAATCTGGGGCATCTCTAGAAATGACTGCTCCGTGGTGAGCCCGTGTGCTCTGAGCCCCTCACCCTGCCTCCCCCCAGCCCCTGAGGGACCTCACTTTGGCTTTGTTTTCCAGCTTCCCGTGGAAGACGACATTGACCTCAGTGACGTGGAGCTGGAGGATTTGGAACGAGATGAGCTGTGAGAGGCTTGGCACAGACTTCAGTTTTCTTTTCTTGGGAGCAAATTTCCCCAGCAGTGAAGGAACATTCTTCACAATCAGATGAGTCTACCGGTGGCCTTTTTAACGAAGAAGTAGCACTTGATTGGTCATGTGAAAACACTGCAACAGTGAACTTTGCATCTCAAGAAAACAATGAAAAATTCTATGAATTGTTGTAGCCAGTGAAATTGGGTTGTATTCTATCAGGTAATATTTTGAGGAAAACTGATGGGCTGTTGATGTATTTTTCCCTCCCTCTGACTGCTGCTTGAATGTTCTTGGAGGCTGTTTCTTACATATTAAGTTTTTTAATGTGATTCTTTCATTTGAATATTAATGGCTTTTTTCCATTAAAAAAATAAAATATTTTGGACAATGCCAATAAATGTATGAAATTAGTGTCCCCATCATAAAATCAGAATCCAGTGTTTAGCCAGTAAGTTAATATAATGAAGGGATGACCCTGATGTCTTCCCTCCCTATAAACCTGTGACCCAGAGGGCACCATCGGGAGGCTTGCCACAACACAGATTTCACCTGCGTCCTGCAAGGCCAAGTTCCAGCTGCGAGATGTGACCCGTACAGGGAGTTTAGAGAAAGGGCGAAAGCAATGGGCGGTCAGTTGAGAACTGCCTTTCGTGCCCCCGCCCCGGATTTTGTCTTTCGGCCATCCCCAGTGACCGTTAGGAAATACGGCTGATTATGCTGTTAGCTCAGGATTTAACGTGCTTCCCCCGCCCTCACGAGATGGCCGTTAAGACCCGAATTAAGGCACCCAGGTTACTGACTCCCAGGTGGGCCCTGTTTATGTTAAGTGCAGTTCGCATTATGTTCTAAGAGACAATTCAAAGGACTGAGCGTTTCTTTATTGTAACTTAAAAAAAATAAATACAACTGTAACGAACTTTGGTGAGCAATTTCTCTAAAAATCTGAATTCGGTAGGGTTCTCTGGCTAAGGGAAAGAGGCGTCTGCAGGCGTCTGCAGGCGTCTGCGTGACCAGGAGCGCGCCGTGGTGCCAGTTCATCTCTCTAGTCGAGAAGACTGAGGTCGATGTGGAAGTAGACGTAAGGAAAATAGTCTTGGTTGTTGAGCTGCAGGCCAGGGATCTCCACAGATGCCTGCAAAAAGAAGACGTCGTGTTGGCGCTCTAACTGCAGAACCCAGTTTGCTGTCGTCTTTATAATTTTCCAGGAGGCTCTCTGACCACATTTTCTGCCCCGCACAGTGCAGCCCCGCCGCGCACACAGCCTCTTCCCTGTTACGCTTGCACATTTGTGAAACGTAGATCTTCTTAACAATCTGGCAATTTCCATTTTCGGAAAGTGCCTCCCACGTGGAGAGGCTGACGGCCATGCAGAAACCCAGCTATTTCTGTCGGATTCTCTACCTACATCCAGTATACTTGCAGCTGCTACTTGATCCAGGTGTCTGAAGACGGAGTTCAGAACCTCCCTTAAACGTTTGGTGGATGACTTCTTATGAGGCTGGAGGAGAACCGCCTGGAAGTTCACCGGTAGTCCGTACCTTCCCAGACAGACAAAACGTGCGAATGAGTTACTTCAGATGCAAATGTGGGTAAAATAACCCTGACGAGAAACAGAGGAAGTTCTAGTAAGAAAAAGGCCTTGGTGAGCATAGCTTAAGAAAATGAAACTCAGTTGAACGGAATGTCTAGGGTCAGAGGTTAGACTAATTGGATTTTTCTGGATAGGAACAGCTCTAGTAGAACATGCTAACCAGCCATTTCTGGCCGTTAATGGCGCGGTGTCTGCTCAAAATACCAAGGTCTGTTGGATCTGCAGGAAGGACGACCTGTGAAGGAGGCTGCTTGTCACCACGTGCGTACTGCTTTCACTATAAATCAAGCCTACGACCTGCTTAGTCCTGTGCCTTTGGAGGGCTCTGGGCGAGCAGAACCCCGATTTCAGAGCCCCGCCAAAATAGTCTTCCCAAGAGGCAAGTGCCAGAGAAGCTGGCCGGTGCTGATGGGGATGGCAGCACGTGGGCTAGCTCACGGGGGACGGGGATGGCCCAGCCCGTGGCCTCATCTCTCCTTTGCTCCCCTTACCATCAAAGCTCTGGTATTCCCTGGGGAAGATGGGCAGAGGGGCTGTCGCCATCTTTCCCTGAATGAGCAGCTTCCCTCCGGACTCCCTACCCCAACTCCCAGTGCTTTCCACATCCTCGACTTCGCCCAGACCATTCCCTCCACCTATGGGCCACAGCCCGGGCGACCTGGACGCTAAGGGCGGGCATTCCAGCTCCCGGGCCATCACTGCCATCCCTGCTTTGTCCTCCGACCCGGTCATTCCACCACAGTCACTGCCCAGCTGCTCTGGAAGACGGTTTATCCTCCCTCACGAGGATCCCCGTGTTGAGAGCTCTCCTGCCTTTCCAGGCCTGGGAGCTGCTTCAGGGCAGAGGCGCGGGGCCGTTCTGCCCCTGGTCCTGGAGAGCAAGCGGCCCTCCTTCAATGCTTCGTACATGCTGGCTCAATGCCCCTGGCCCCCTCATCAAGCCTCCAGGCCCTTGGCCCCTTAGCCCACTCTGGAATTGAGGGCTTTTCACGTTCTTCCTCTGCAGACCCTTCCAGTCCTTACCCTGCGAACCCCTCCTCTGGATCAATTTAAAGGAACGCCTTCTGTTGTGCTCAGAACATGCCTTCCAGGAACAGCTGAGTCTGTTCTGCTCGTTCTCAAGGCTGCCCCCCCATGGTGCTCCCTCTTGGATCGCTCAGTAGAGGACCCTCCTCCTCCCTGATTGCTGAGGTCACCTGGTGGGGAGCCCTCACCTGCAGCCCCCACACCGGGACCACTGTAGCCACCCCAGCCCCACCCCCCGGGGCTGCAAGGTCCCTCAGGTTTCTCAACTACTGCCCCCTTCCCTTTAACATATCACCATCTTGCCCTGCCTAAAATGAACTTCCTCGGCTCCTCCCTAAGGCTCTCATTCCAAACCTGAGAGTATCCAGTGTCCTGTGTCACCCAGTCATCCTTCAGCCATCACACTGGGGCTTGTCCCACCAATGACCTCACGGCCCATTTGCAGGGACACATAAATCCTTAGGCTTCCACTCCCTTTGACTCGTCAGCCACTCCGTCCTCCTGCCTCGATCTCCTCATGGGCTTTTCTGCCTCCACCCCTTGTATGTTGGAGGTCCCCCAAGGCGCCCCTTCAGTACGTTCCCTCTATACGACTCTCTCTAAATGAATGCACCCGCAGAGCCACCATTAGGGTTCCCTAACGTCTGTTCCCCACTAACACCTCTCCCAGGAGCCCGACTAACCAGCTAGCTACCTGGCCGGCTCGCTCTCATCCCAGATGACTGAAGCCCCTGGTTCCCTTCACCCTGAAGGCCAACTAGCACTTCCTCAGCTGAGGGCGGGGTCCACTTCACTTTGGTTTTATTGAGTCCACGAACAGTTAGCATCCACTCTGTCCAACTCTGGGCTGAGTGACCGAGGTAGCGAGCAAGTCGGCCCCAGCCCCCACACAGGCGGGAAGAACAAACCAGCCTGGCGAGGAGGAGGACAGCACCAAGTGCCAACTGGGGGTCAAAGGAACAGGCAAGCAAATGAACTTCACCGTCTGTCTGCGCTAACAAACTTGCTGGTTCATCTGTTTTCTTGGACTATGATCTCTCCATACAATAGAATATGGAAAAGCCATTAAAAAGGATCAGGTAGGGGCAACTGGGTGGCTCAGTCGTTAAGTGACTGCCTTCAGCTCAGGTCATGATCCCGGGGTCCTGGGATCGAGCCCCGCATCGGGCTCCCTGCTTAGTGGGGAGCCTGCTTCTCCCTCTCCCACTCCCCCTGCTTGTGTTCCCTCTCTCGCTGTGTCTCTCTCTGTCAAATAAATAAAATCTTTAAAAAAAAGGATCAGGTAGCTCCATACACACTGGTAAGAACTGAAAGCAGATGAAAAAAGCACGCCGCAGAACGTTAAGGATAAATGGGCTAAGAAGAGCCTTGAAACCATTAACTGTGATTATCTGTGGGCAGGGGGACTGTGAGGAACTTCCTCCACAGTATATATTTCTGAACTTCAGTTTGTTTTTAACAGTGTTCATATATTACAACTGTATTCAGGAAAAATACAGACACAGTAAGAAAAAGTCCTACACTGATAGTCTGGTAAAGAATTATTTCTACAGGGGCGCCTGGGTGGCTCAGTCGGTTAGGTGTCTGCCTTTGATTCAGGTCATGATCCTCGGACGCTGGGCTTGAGCCCCGTGTCAGGCTCCCTGCTCTCTCTCCCTCTGACTGCCACTCCCCCCTGCTTGTGCTGTCCGTCAAATAAATAAAACCTTTTTTTAAAAAAAAAGAATTATTTCTATATGACTTTTAGGGGAAATAGTTTTATCCAGCTTAAGATATTAAGGATATCTATCTATACCTCTCTTGAGCAAATGGGAAGCCACACTATTGGGCCCGAGAACCACTGAATTTTGAGGCAAGCAGGTCAGTCTGGGGCCCGTCGACACTACGGACGTCTGGAACACTCCAGGGTAGCGTGAGTACACCCTGCAACACCGGGCCACAATCCATGCCATTCCAGGCCTCTGAGACGGGCGGGGAGGATGAGGAGCCACGGTGAGATCTGATCCGTGTCTGGACAAAACCACACCTGGCAGCCACCATATTGTTTGGACAAAACCGTGCCTGGCAGCCACCAGTTTAAACAAAACCACACTGGCAGCCATGTGGAGGACGAGAGCCTGTGGCAACAGCTGGGCCAGTGAGGCGGGAGACGGAGGTGAGAGAGAAAGCGGAGGCAGGATGGATGGCGCGTCCAGGGCGCTGTGGGGCGCAGGGAGTGGGGGAGGTAAGCGGGGATGAGGGAGCAGAGCGTCCGAGCCCCGAGGTTTGGGGCCTGGGGACAGGAAGGACATGAGGCCACTGGCATTAAGAGGGCAGCCAGAGGAAGAGGTTGGGAGGGAAGAGGAGCCGGATGTGTCCAGCGAGCGGCAGGACCGGGAGATGCAGGAAGCACAGGCAGAGAAAGGAAAGCAGGAACGGGCCTCCAGGTGGGGGGCCGCCGTGCAGGCAGGGGAAGGGGCTGGGGAGAGCGCTCCAGAGGCTCGGAGGGCCAGGGAAGCACCGGAGCCTGCGGGCCAGAGCGGGCCAAGAAGCAGGGGCGGAAGCTTCTGGAAAAAGTGTGTCCAGCCAGCCGTGTGCGGTGCTACCAAGATCCACCCCCAGAGCTCATGACACGGGGCATCTTCAAAACCCAGGAGAAAAGCAGGCTTCAAAAAGTATTTCCTGTATAATTCCATTTTCATAAAAATTTAGTAAAAAATAGGCGTAGCTGTAAACTAGAAAAAAAAGCAAAACACAAAGGAACAAAAACTCCCGAAGGGGTTCACGCCCGCGTGTAAGCCAGCCGCGCTCTCTCTCGCTGTTCAAAGTACAGGTGATTTTTACTCACTGTTGGTGCTTATTTATAGTTTCCTAATTCTCCACAGCGAACCCATTTCACTTTTGTTAAAAACAAGGCATAATTTTTGTCGTCGTTAGTTCGCGCTCTGGTTTAGGTTTTAGTGTTTGTGTTGCCTTGGGCCTCCGAGGTCAAGGACAGTGCCGGTATTTCTTCCAGGAGTCGCACAGAACCTGCTGGAGAGGGCAGGCCCCCCGCCCCAGGCCCGGCAGGGGACGGAGGCAGCGCACAGGACCGCAGGCCGCCGCGCGCAGCGAGGGCTTGGGCGACTCCGAAGTCCCAAGCATGTCGCCCAGAGCCAGGAGCAGCGCGGGGACAGGGCAGGAGGGCCCGGCCCAGAGGAAGGGGGCTGGACGGGGCAGGCGGCGGTCCCGGGGGGGCCCCCCCCAGCTGGCCGCTCCCCCCGCCCCCCCAGCAGGACAGCCCGGGCTGGGCCCGGCCGCCACGCACCTGAGCACGGACTCCACAAACACCCTGAGCGCCTTGATGTGGATCCAGGCAATGAAGGCTTCGCTGAAGTTCACCTTGAGCCAGCGCAGCAGCGGGCCCTGCGGAGACAGGAGAGCGGGTGATGCCTGCTGGCAGCCCCGCCGGACGCCAGGCAAGGACGACACGGCTTTTGACAGAGCAAGCCTTGCGCGGGGACACGGCCGGCGGCCAGCGGAAGCAGCGAGTCGGTTGGCCCACGTCCTCCAGGGCGCCCGGGGCCCGGCAAGCTCAGCGGGCCAGCCACCCGGCACATGCGCGGGGCCACCAGAGCCCGGGCGGCGGGGGGCGGGGGGCGGCTGGGCAGCCCCTGACCCCCGGGCCGCGGGCGGACAGCGGACAGCGGACAGGCTTCCCTCCGACGCCAGCTCCGAGGAACGCGTCGCACACACCCCCCCCCGTTCTAGCATCATCCCCCAGCTGCCGCTTCCGGGGGGCTCCGCCGAGCCCACCTCACAAGGCCGCAGCCCCTCGGGGCCGCGGCAGCTGTCACGAATGCTGGTGTGGCCGGTCCTCGGGGGGCGGGGGGGCCGGAGTCCTGCAGCGAGGGCTCTGAGCCCCCACCGACACGTCCGCCTGCCCGCAGAGGTCAGGGGTGGGTCCAGCCAGGGCAGCCCGGGGGCTGGGGAGAGCCGAGCTGCCCGACCGCCGCCACCCAGCAGGGCCTGCCCCCGTCACCAGCTGCAGCCACCTCCAGGCAGGGCAGAGGCACCCTGGCCAACAAGCACCGTCCACTGCCGGGCGCGGGGAGCAGCTCCAAAGACGCCCTGCGGGTGAGGAGGGAGGCCGGATCCTGGGCTCCTTGATTTAAGCCCTCCAAAGCCACACTGCGTACGGAAAAGGCAAGGCGCCGTTTTCTCGGGGATGCCCGCGCCGGCGAGGACATGCGAGCGGGGCCCCGGGGCTGCGGGGTGCTCTTACCTCTCCCTCGCCCTCACTCTCTCTCTCTCTGTCCGTCTGCCCCGCAGCGGGCCTAGCGGGGTTACCTAGCGGGGTTACCTTAACCTTGCGGTCCGGGAAGGTGGATGATCCCTTTTTAAGAGCAACACAGGAAGTTTGCTAAAGGCACAGAAATGATTTATTAATCTCTCAGCAAACAGGCATCACAACGAACAGAAGTAACTCGCGTCGCCGGAAAAGCGCGTGAAGGCGAGCTGGGAATGCCGGCCCGCCCTCGGGACTCGCGTGCGGCCTGCACTGGAGGTGGATGGGGGGCGCTCAGGTGTCCGGGCCCCCTCCTGCAGCGACAGAGCCGGCCGCTGACGGCGGGGTCAGCTCCCGCTTCCGTCCCCCTGCCTGGCCTCGGTCCGCACCTCCCCTCCACGGGCGGACAGGACAGGGACCGTCCCCGGGAGGCAGCTGTTAGCGGAAACGGCTGTGCCCGCGGGGCGCGTCTCCACCCCGTCCGGCCACGGGGGGCCCCGCGGCACCCATGGAAGCTCCGTACAGAGAATGAGCCAGGCACGCCGGTAGGACCTACCATCCTTTATCCGCCGCCTCTGCAGACGGGGAGAAAGCACAGGAAAATCCCACCCTGTGCTGTCCAAGGGAGCCGAGCCCCCAGGACCTAGCCTGTCCCCTCGGGGTGACGAGGACCAAAGACGGCGCGGGATGCTGGCCACGCCCACTGCCCCACAAGCTAAAGGGGAAAGAGGTGTCTCGGAAGCCAGGGTATGGCTGCCCCCGGCTGACCCCCGCTCGGTGGCTGACCCCGCCCAGCGGCACACAGCCCGAGCCTCGCAAGGAGCTAAATGGTTCCGAGTTCGTGCGTCTCCTCTGGAGCTCCACTTGCCCTCCACAGAGACCCTGGAAGGGCTCCCGGGGCAGCGTGGGGGTGCAGAAGCCTACACCTTGTAAGGAAGTGGCAACCTGAGCCCCAGGCGGCAGGTGTCGAGCTCTTGTGTGTCACCTGGATCCTCAGGGGGTCTGTACCAGCGCCGAGGCCAGTGCCAAAGGCACGACCTGACCACCCGTCCTGCGGGCAGGGCCTCCCGCCCGGACATTTGTCAAAGCTGCCACTGTCTAGCCCCCCACCCAGAGACACTGGGTAGGGGGCCCGGGGCCAGGACCGAAGCCAGCAGGGACGAGGCTAGAGAGACCACTGAGCGCTCCTGGGTGATGAGGGTTTGGGGCGAGCTAAGGCCAAGGAGAAAAACCCTTGGGTTTTGCGGCTCTTGTTGGTGAACCCCTTCCCTGCCTGGGTGTGCGGGGCCTGAGGCCTCGGGGCCCAGCGCCGCCTCAGCTCTTTGTCTCAGGAAGAGCCCTCAACCCAAAGCCCGGCAGACTGAGGATCAGAAACGGGTGTGTTCACTTGGCATGCACACACTCACGTCCACACACACACACATGCTTGGGGGCGGGGCTAACCCCCCCACAGGCACTATTACATGATGAGCTCCTGTCTCGTCCTCAGAGGGGACGGGCCCGTCCAGTGGGGCTTTGGGAACCCCGTTTTGCGGAACCCCATACTGCTGCTCACTTCTGAGGGGGCGAGGCTTGCCTGGAGTCCCTGTGGAAAGGCCACTGACCAGAGAGGTCGAGCCGGACGTGCCCATTCCGCCAGCCCGGCGTCAGAGAAGACCCGGGGCCAACACTCGGCCACACGGGAGGTACTTCTTGCTCTTCACCTAAGCACAGACTTACAGCTTTATGTTCACACACCGGCTTTCCTCCAAAAGGCCTGAAGTACACTCTACTCATTCTTCCCTTCCTCTCTACACTAGAGGCCGAACTGGAAGTTTCTGAGAACCCTCCCCAGTGGGGGTGGGGGGCAGAGGGGCCCTGAAGACGTTCCACCAGGGGGGCCCCTGGAGCCACCCGGCTTAGGCTTCTCCGTAGCAGGAAGGGGCCCATCCCGCGGAGCAGAGTGGCTCTCCCCAGGCTACCCCGTTCACATGCCCAGACTCAAAGCCTGGCTTGCTCCCTCGTGAGCTCAGCTGCCCGTGCACGCGGAAGGTTTCCGAGTGGTTGTTGCCAGAAACCTCAAGGATAAGCCCCCACTCTTTGCTAAAAGCGTAGGGGGAATAAATACAGGTGCTGACGACAGAAGCCATCCCATCGCGCCTGGGGAACCACACTGCTGAGGCCAGCAAGGTGACTGAGGGGACAGGGCTGCCCACGCTCGGCACAGGGACCCCCGCCTGGATCCCTACCTGCCCTGCCCCAGTCTCCTCGTCCTGGGGGAAATGCTCCCTGACCTCCCAGAGCCTCAGTTTCTCAGCTGCACAGTGGGGCTTGGAGTCCCCTCCTGGAGGGGCGCTGCCAGGACTCGGGAGCTCTCCTAGGGAAGGCGCCCCTGGGTGCCCCTCTCCCTTCCCCAGCCCCGCTCTGGCAGCTCCAGGGGAACACAGGTTCCCGGGCCACATGGCCCCCAAGGGAGGGGGGTGCTCTTGCATGAAGCCCGCCCGCCTGTGCAGTTTACTCACATACTGTTGCTTCTTATCAGACAGCAACCTGCTCATCTCTTCCCTTTCCCTTTTAATTTCTTTCTCATCATAGTAAAATTCACGGACAGTGAACCTTAAAACAAGCAAATGAGAGGCTTTCACCAGGAAGCTTCCAGACGGAGCAGAGACCCCTCCAGCTGAGACAGCCCAAACCCGGAGGAGTCTACCACGGCCAGCCCTTACTTGTTCTCTCTGGCTTTGGTTTTGAAATCCTCGATCACTTTTCGAAACAGGGTCACCGTGAAGAGGCCGCCCTCGTTGTCCTCGGCAATCAGTCTGGTGGAGAGAAGCATCTGTTCACCGGGAGCCTCCGCACACCCGAGGTCAGAGCTGGGCCGGAGAGGCCTGTTCCGTCTCCCTGGGGAGGTGGGTCCCCGCACAGGGGCAGCTCCGTCCCCATCAGCCCAGTGGCCCCACCAGCACCCGAGGGCAGGGAACCGGACACCCCTTATGACTTCCTGACTCCGGGCCGGGTGGTCTCTACCACCTGCTATTGCTCCTTCCATTTCCCCTCCAGGCTGAGGCCTCGGGGGCCTCTGGGTGATCTACACGCAGGCCCTCAAGGTGCAGAGACCCCCAGTTTGGCTCCAGTTTGAGAGATGCCTGAGCGATCGAGCTACTCCCGAAGGCGCACAGGGCCTCAGGGGGCGCTGTCCCAAGACAGGGCCCACCGGAGCCAGTGGTCAGCGTCTTTGAGTCAGCCCTTTTGGCCAGAAGACCTAAGGGAAGCCCTTCGCCAAGCCCGGGCAGGTCTCATGGGCATGCTGGCCAGGTCCCCTTTCCTGTCACTCAGAGCCCCCCCTGCCCCGCCGCAATCAACACTGAGGTGGCCTCTGTGGAGGGGTCCCCCAGCACGTGGCCACAGAAAGCCAGTGTGGCAGAGCGTTGGTGGCCTCTGCCAGGCTGTCGGGTTTGGAGGACCTGCCCATCTGCCCATCTGCCCATCTGTCTGCCTTCCTCCTCTCCCTGCAGACGCCCCTGGCTTCTTCCTCTGGCCTCCCCTCATGACCCCAGGCTCTGGCTCTCCAGTTCCCTGCACCCCTCAGTGTAGCTCCTGATTGCCATCTCCTGTGAGCTGTGACCCTGGAAGAGCCTCCCCGGCAGGAGGTGGGCCTCGGAGCCGAGAGGGGCGTGGGCAGGCCCGCCCTCACCCTACGCCCTGTGTGCTGGGAAGCAGACGACTGGCGAAGCTGGCCCAGTCTCATCGCCCAATCTTTTTAAATTACAAACTATTCCAGACATACGAGAAGGTATAGGGTATAACGAATACTATGCATTGGCCGCCCCACTTAAGACCTAAAGCCATTTGCACACCATAGAAGCCCCGTGCTCGTCCCTGGCTGCGTGTCGCTCCCTGGCCTGATCCCCCAAACAGCCCCTCGACTCTCCTGTGCGCCTGCACGTGCCCAGATCACGTGGGGTTTAGTTCGGTCCGTTTCTCGACCTCAGATAAATGGCTTCACGCCGGGTGTACTTCTCAGCCACTGGCTTTTCCTGCTCCGCACCAAACCGTGAGACCCACCCCTGCCGCGGCGTGCAGCCCCGACGTGCTGGTGTCCCCATGTGCTGGTGGGCCCACGTGCATGGTCTTCACGGTTTGACTGTATTCCTGTATCCCTTCTCCTGCCACTTTCCCAGCCCTCCCCGGCCACTCCTGCTCTGACCCCAGTAGGCCAGCCGCTGAGATGGACTCCGCTCCCCCCCTGCCCCCCAGCTGCCCCCCAGCTGCTCATGCTCTGTGGCCATCAGAGATCAGAGTCAGGCCCCTGCTTGACCCTCAGATGGGAAAGCATCGACCTGAGCTGAGAAAGCAGAGCAGAGCGTGGTGAGGGGGATCCCTGCAGGCATGCAGCCAGAGGGGGCTTCCTGGAAGAGGGGGAAGCGAAGCGGCGTTCGAAAAGATAGAGGGAGTCTAGCACGTGGCTGGGGGTGTGACTATAAAGGAACTCCAGGCTGAGGGACTCTGGTGAGCGCCAAGTGGGCAGGGCTGAGGGTCCCTGCGTTCCCAGAGCATGTTTGGTGCCTGGGTGCCAAGCTGGGGTCTTACTTAGTCGACCGAGGGACCACCATGTCCGAGAGGGATTCGTAGGTTTTTTGCCATTTTGTGTAGCTTGGTCTGCAAGAATACAGAATCATTCAGTGATTTCTGAAGAATGGCTGGGGGTGTTCCGAGTGTTTAGGACGCTGTACACCCCTTTTCCCAAGGGACTGAGATGAGCAGGACTGGGCCAGAGAGCCCCAAACACCCCAAGGCCCTGCCATGGGCACTGGGCACCGCCTCCCCAGCCCAGTCCTGGACCCAGTCTCCCCACAAGGGCCCCGGACGCCACAGCGGGCCCATGTGAAGGGTTCAGCCAGAGATGTGTGTTGGAGCTTTCTAGTCCTGACCCTGTGTGGCCTTGGAGAAGCCAACTGACTTCTCTGGCCTCTGGACAAGGGATTAACAGCCACCCCCGGTTTGCTGTGAGTGAAATGAGCTCCTAAGGCTGGTGGCACCCAGCAGCTGCTCAAGAAATGGCAGCTTCTGTCACTGCTTTACCCCACAGACACTGTCACCCTGCTCCTGTTCCTGCCCCCGGGGTCCAGGCCATGGAGGGCCCCCTTTCTCTCTGCTGGGCCGGGCCACTTTCCTTCCATGATCACCAACACAGGCTGAGGCCCCCCGCCACCCCCTTTCCTGGGCCACTTACTTGGGGACGATGACCAGAAGTGTGATTAGATACTCGGAACCCAACACGAAGTCTTCTTTGCTCACGATATTGCTCAATGTCCGAGTGAAGAGGTTTCCCCTGAATCCATGTGGGACAAAGGGGGTGGGATCAGCAGAAAGGCAGAGGGAGGCCTCGTGGGCCTGGGCATTTGGGACACACGGACCCCCGCACAAACACAACACACAGGCCCTGGGTCAGGAGGACAGGCAGGAAACACGAAGGCTCGTATGTCCCCCCAGAGTGGCAGATCCCTGGGCTGAGTGTGCCCCCGACCCCCTAGTTCTGGGTGGCTGGAGCTGCTGCGGCTAGCAGGGCCGGAGGCCCCCTCACCAGTCCCCCGAGGGGCGCCGGAATCCAACACCGCCATCACCTGCGCTGCCCCTGGGACTGCTGGGAGGGGACTGTGGGTGGCAGGCAGCTTGAGTTACTCAAGTGTCAACACTCGGGCTGTCCTGGGGCGGAGACGGGCCCAGAAAGAGCTCCGTTTCACTTTTCACACCTCCCAGGTCCAGCCGCCAGGGGACATTCACCTGCAATCGCTTGCTTCATGCCCAGTGGAACTCGGGCTCCAGACAGGTCATGGTATTTTTAGCACATGGTTCAAGGCTATTGCAGCAGCAGATGGGCCAAGGGACAGCTCGGAGACCATCTGTAGCCTGGGCGCCCTGGCCACGGTTATCAGCTGATGTATTAGCTCTGGCGAACGGCTCTCAAGCACTCGGCCAAGGCCAAGGCCTCAGGTAACACGCCACCTCCAGCCTCACCTCTCCCACCTGTGCCTTCACTGCTAAGGCCCTTAGGACCCTTTCCAAAGGCACAAGGCCTGTGCCCCCTACCTCGTTACCGTTCCGCCGTCGGGTCTGCTCTGTCTGGTTTATGCCTGCACTCCTAGCACAAAGCAGATTCTCCGTAGATATTTGTTGAGTGAGTCACTGTGAGCTCCCCGAGTGCAGAAATTACACTGTCCTCTGCTTTGTTACCTTTAGGGCCTGGCATAAAGCCTGAGAGTGTAGTAGGTGCTTAATACACGTTTATCGGAAGAAGAATAACGAACAAAGGAGGCAGGAACAGCTTCCCCCCATCCCCCTTCACTCAGGGGAGTGATCAATAGATCAGCACTGCGGTCAATCAGCCGCTGAGCTTCTTCATCAGCTGACCGACGAGGCCGGACCAGATGTCTGCTCAAGCCCCAAACGATTCTCAAGGAGTCCACAAGTCGGTGATGCGACAAGTAGATGGCCCAGCAGGTAAATGGTCAATGCCACCACGGATCTAAGCCAAGGTCACCGTTTAGGGCACTCTCTTCCACCGGCACCCCGCCCTTCGCCCATCTCCTTCCTTCGTAGGGCCAAGGATGAGGCGAAACTCAGGTGATGCCCATTTAGTTCTGATGCCAAGTCACGCCACCAATAATGACTATTTCTAGTTGAAGTGCATCTTTCCCTTTTTGGTTTTAAAGTCTACGTACTATAAGCTTCTTTCGCAAGAAGCCAGCTGGCCCAGGGACCATCCCAAGGGAGAGGCGGAAAAGGGGAGGGAAGGTGAGCTACTCAGAGGGACAGCTGATTCTGAAGTCCCCTGGGCACTGCCCTTCTTTGGAGGATCTTCAGACAACTGCCAACAGAATCAGAGCCAGAACCTGGGGAGACTGGGAGGATCCTCCATGCCAACTCAGTCCTACTCAGGAGCACCTTCCAGACTCCCTGGCGGGAGCTCAACTGGCCTTTCCTGACATGCCTCCCACAACGAGGCACTCACTACCTCACAAGAGAGCTGCTGCCATCATGACACTAGGTTTCTGCTTTCCTCCAGACACCTCCCACCATCTTGGTGACTGGTGGCTGGTGGGCCATGCGGTCTGCTCCGTCTCTCACGTGGAGGTCCTTTAGTTGAATGAAGAAGGCACCAGAGTCCCTGTGGTTGCTCTGCTCTGGGCTGCGGCACCCACTGCCCCTGGGGGGCCCTCACAAAGGGCCAGGCTCTACCAGTCAGGCCCCCTCTGCCTATGCGAGAGGGTCCTCTGTAAAGCTCCCCGGGGGAAAGGTCTTGGGACCCACCCCAGCTGTTCTCAGTAACCTGGGGCGGTTGGGAGAGGGAGGGAAGGGGGCGAGGGGCAGCATGGTATTCCTCTCTGGGTCCAGGCAGGGAGGTGCCATCACCCCTGCTTGGGCCTTGCCACCCGGTCATAGGCACCAAGGCCTCCCCGCCCAGCACGCAGCTCCCAAGAGGCAGGAGTGCCTCGGCATCTGCCTGGTTGGCTGGCTGGCTCTCTGGCTCTCTCTCAACCCAGGCACAGACCGGGTTCCCCCAGTGATGTGAAAGGCACACTCCGGCCCCCGCCCGGCCCCGGCAGTGCAGAAACTCGGATACTCACATGGATTTCTTCTCCAGGTTCTCCAGGTTCGTCTTCAGAGTGTTGTAGGTGGCTGTTCGGGATTTCAGGTCAGTCTCGATCTGTGCCAGTTGCTATTTGGAAAAGCAAAAGAGGTGGCCGAACTCTTCAAAATGGCCCTAAACTGTTGACAGCATACTTCGGAATAAGGAATCATCAGGGCTGCCCACCGGTCAGGAATGCTCCGTTTTCTTCCCACGGCTCTCGCACACGCCAGTGGGTGGCCCTACAGTAGCCTGCAGGGAGCAGGGGAGAGCTTCACAGCCCCACTTTGCAGATACCGCAGCCCGAGACAGGCATGGCTGTTCTAGGATCACTCAGTGAGGTGCATCTTCTGATCGCGAGCCCTTCTCGCACTGCCAGGCCAGCCCAGCTGACCCCATCCTGGCTTGAGGGGGGACCACTGTGGCACGACCCTGCCAATGCCCGGTCCCAGGCTCAGCTGGGCCCCACAGCCCCTTCCCACAGGAAGGGGTAGGTAGGTAGGAAGGTTCCTTTCGGCTTGGACGCAGGTCATGGGCCTGGCACGAAGGAGATCCCCTGTTCTCGAGTTTCAGGGAGGGCGTCCCAGAGCCCCACCTGCAGCGGGCCCAGGCGGACATGTCGTGGAAAGAGGGGAAACAGGACAAGCCCGGGCCCACGGCCTAGCTCTCTGGCTGCCTGGCCTCAGTGGCCCCATCTGCGTGGCCAGGGGGGTAATTAATGTCCTCCCCAAGGGCTCGAAACAGAGAAAGGCAAATGCCCACCACGGCCTACCTCGCCGGAAGCCCTCAAAACACAGCCCCTGCCCCCCAGGGCTCACACTTGGGCAGTGGAGCCCATCAGTCCAGAACTGGTTCAACAAAGGGGGGCACCCCACAGTACGGGACTCGGCGCGGCCTTCCAGATGATCGCGGGAGACTCCCGCACGCAGTGGGGCACAGGGCCGACCCCCGCAGCTCCTGAGGGGCCGCACCCCTCCTCCCAACCCAGAGCCCCACGTCCTGGGCCAGCTCCCTGGTGGCGTGCAGTCGCCCCCGTGGGACCCCCGCTCCACGCCAACAAACACTGCCGACGCGGATATCCCAGCATCAGCACGCGACAACAAGGAGGCGGCCTGAGGGACCGGACGATCCTGACCTGAAATACACAGATTTCGTTCCTACAGAGACGGGAGGATCCACTTTCAACGGTTAACACATCGGTCACCTTTAGTGGGGGAGGAAAGGGAGGGGTCTTGTCATGGGAAGCCTTTCACGTTTTTATCCTCCTATCTTGGATATGTCTGATTTTTAAAATAAGATATATATATATTTTTTTTTACAATTTTTTAAAATCTTGTCCTTTGAAACAGTGACAGATTTCATGGGAAATTACAGAAAGAGGACACAGGGGGACACCCCACTGGCTCGGTCGGTGGGGCATGCGGCTCTTGATCTTGGGGTCGTGGGTTCAAGCCCCACGTTTGGTGTAGAGATTACTTAAGAAAATGAAAAAATAAAATATTTTTAAAAATAGGACACAGAGACCCCATGTACCCATCTTACATAACAACAGTACGTGATCTTAACCAAGAAACCGACTCAGGTACAATCCACTGTCTTGATTTTTAAAATTAGTATTATACACACACACATACACACACAATTATTTTTTAAAGGAAAAAAATCAAACAAAAAAATCCTACATCTTCCTTCCTTTTCTGGTTTCACCACAAGCCAATGAAAACCTGCGGAGGGGTGTTTGGAAACCAGTGGATGGCGAGAGGAACCAGGGCTCTGGAACCAGTTCGCACTCAGCCTGCCTGTGAGCTGGCGTCAGGTCTGGCCCTCTCTGAGCTCAAGCCCACGGAATTACGGAGAGCTCCCAGAATCTGCAGAGCAGGCTGTTCAGCAAGGCGAGGCCCACCTGCCCCAGCCGGAGCTCCTCCAGGGGGCCGGGTCCCCCCCACCCGCCCCTGTGTCGTGACCCCGGGAGGGTGGCCGGCGCAGGCAGTGCTGAGGACGTGCGTTCAGCCGGGCTCCGAGGTGGGGGGCTGGCTGGCAGAAGCCCCGAGAGCCTCCCAGACCCACCTGCAGAACCCAGAGATGTTTCCAGTGGTGGAGACACCAGCCGCCAGCGCCCCGAGGGGGCCGGCATGGAACCCCCACCCTCGGCTGCACGTGTGCGTGCTGAAGAATAAACCCTGCGCTGTGTCACACCCATGAGGTCTGGGGGCTTTTTCGAACCTGCAGCATGACCAGGCCTGTGGAGACTGACACCGCGGTGGGCTGGGTCCCTGACCCGGTGACAGGTCATGCTGCCACAATGAGGGTTGGGAGGGGGCGAAGCCCTCCCCACCCTTGAGCCTCTTCTTTAAGGGCCGGGGGTGGGCTCAGTTCCCAGCGGTCGGGAGGGTCTGGGGGGCCGGGGCCTGGCCCTGACCACGTCAGCACAAGGCTCCTCCCAGGCTGGGAGACCTGCTTGGACATCCAGCAAGTGCTACTCGATGCCCAGCAACACAGCGACTTTTGTGTCCCCAAGGCTCGCCCCGTGAAGGACCTCCCATTGGAGGAACAGACCTGAACCACGGCTGTGGGCATCACACACGGGGTCCTGGTGCAGGACAACCTCCGGGGGCCAATACTCAGAGCCTCAAAGAGCTGGTTCCCTGCAGTGGAGCTGGCCCCGGGCTTCCTTGGGAAGCCTTGTCTCTCTCTCTCTCTCTCTCTCTCTCTCTCTCTTTCTCAAACACACACACACACACACACACACAGCCCAACCAAGACCTGCATTCCCATCCCAGGTCCCGAAGCAAGCCACTTAACCTCTCAGCCAGCTTCCTCATCTGAGGTCAGAGGAAGGGGGTCCTCCCTCACAGGGGTGACGTGGAAGGAGAGCCCTGCGTGGTTCTGGGCACACGGGGAGCGCTATCAACACCAGTGCCCTCCTCCCCCTCCCTGCTTTCCTTTCCTCTGGGTGCCTGGACTAGAGAGAAGCCAAGTGCTGTCCTCTCCAACTGCTCTGCTCCCCTCTCGGTTGACCCCCCGACGTGTCCCAGGGTCCTCATCGCTAGCCGGCATCCCTGGGACAGCCCCGCCAGTGAGCACAGTCCCGAGTGGACTCAGAGCATGGCCTGAGCGCCTGCCTGGCTCAGCCTGGCCTCAGCAACGCAGGGTGCACCTCTAGGTTGGTGGTAGAGGCCCACAGAACCTCCCGGAAGCCACGTCTGGCACAGGAGCGCCGGGCAGCCCCTCCTCAGAGGGCTTTCCAGAATCACTGCCCGATTGTCCCAGGAGAGGCTAGGACCTCTGTGGCGTAAGCAGTGCCCGAGAAGCCGCACCCAGATTCCAGAGCCTTCTGGCCCCACCCGAGTTCCCAGAGAAACGGGCCAGGCACCAGCCTGCTGTGGGGAGCGCACAGGGCTGCACTCGGATGGGTCCCAGTGGCCCATCTCCTGCACCTGACCCGCCCAGACACACCTGGGTGGCTCTGTGGTCTGAGGAGACAACAGGAAGGCTTTGTTCCTGGCCTGGCTGAGACTCTCTCTCCCAGCCACCCGGGCCAGGAGGAGACATGGCCCATGAGGGGCTCAGTGTATGGCAGAGGGAGGGGGACAGGCAGTCACCAACCATCAGAGCTCACCCTCAGTGAGACACACAGGAGTCAACAAGGCCACGAGACCCCCACAACGTCCCCAGAGACTTGAGCCACAGTGCTTTTATTTACGAAGTGAAAGCTGGAGGCCATCGCTTACCAAGATGGTAGAATTGTGGGGTGCAGTGCTTACTGGCCTGGTTTTTTTTTTTAATTTATTCATTTATTTTTAGAGGGGGATGCGGAGAGAAAGAGAGTCCCAAGCAGACTCCCCACTGAGCGCAGAGCCTGATGTGGGGCTCAATCCCACAACCCGAGATCATGACCTGAGCCAAAACCAAGAGTCGGAGGCTCAACCGACCATGCCACAAGGTGCCCCTTACCGGCCTCACTATTGTCACAGGCTCCTCAAAGCAGGGGCAGGACCCCTGGTGATGCCTTCCAGAAACGTTAGGGCTCCGAAGCTAGACTCTCCACAGAAGCAGATAGTTCTTGTCAAGTAGACAATCACTCTGGGATGTGGTTGGGGGGTATGAGGCTCTTGTTAGTAGGTCAGGATGGGGCTGAGCTGCTCCCTCAGCACCTTTCAAAAAGTAGCGAGCTGGAGGGAACCCACGGAAGGGGCACCAGGGTCTGGGCCAGGCGTGTCAGGGGAGTGTCTGTGGATGCCGCCGCCGGGCAGGCAACAGGGCCAGAAGGGGTATGGAGGGGAGCAGGTGCCCGCCTTGAAACCCCAAAGTCTCGGCCTTGCCCAGGGCATGGAAGGCCACACCTCAAAAAAGCACCGGGCCTGGTCAGGGCTGGCAGGAAGCAGATGGGAGGGGGACTCCACCCAGGGTCACCCGGCAGAGCTAGGGCCCCACCTAGCCCCGACTGTGGCCTCCCAGAAGGTCCCTCTTGGCAGCACCGCCGGGGCCCCAAGGCCATGTAGATCTCCCTCAGGTGGTCGGATCGCCCTGGTCACCGAAGTTTATCTGTCCCCCGAGAGAAGGCCCTCCTCACCTTCGCTAGCGTGTCCACCACGCTCACCAGCGGCTGCTTCGCGGGGTATTTCGCCATGTCCCATTCAAAGTGGGTCACAAAGGATGGTAAGTCAACTGGAAGAAACATTTCAACAAATGAGTGGGACTCTCCCCATCTCGTGAGACCAAGGCTGCCAAACCCTGAGCCAAGCATCCCCACGGAAACCAAGGAAGCAATCAGAGAAAAGGAAGGAGAGAGTCAGGGCCCTGGGAGAGCACACACGCCCCCCGGGAGTGGGGTACTGAGCCAGCTGGCTGGCCTTCGGTCAGGACCGTCAGCAGCACCCCTCCGAAAAACCCACCACCAGCCACAGGGCCAAGGTGACCAGAACACACCTGTGCCCCAAATGCTCTCAGACGGCTGCCCCCCGAGATCTGCCTTTGGGAGATCCTACTTTCCCACGAGGTAGAAGCAAAATCGGGAAATAGTCTGAGGGCCAGGTTAATACCTCCCTTTTCTGGTTGTGTTGGCCACACTCCGCTGTTGGGCTATTTTTCTGTTTTGAGGTACCTCAAAAGACACGCCAGAGCGCCTCAGGCCAACCCCCAAAGACCACGGGATGGTATGGTACCACCTGCTCACAAGAAGAGCTGTTTTTCCACCTTCCTCACCCAAGCACTGGATAGAGGCCATTACAACGGAGATGGTTTGTTTTCCTTATCTTTTTTTTTTAAAGATTTTATTTATTTATTTGACAGAGAGAGAGAGACAGCGAGAGAGGGAACACAAGCAGGGGGAGTGGGAGAGGGAGAAGCAAGCTTCCTGCCAAGCAGGGAGCCCGATGCGGGGCTCGATCCCAGGACCCTGAGATCATGACCTGAGCTGAAGGCAGTCGCTTAACCAACTGAGCCACCCAGGCACCCCGCAGATGGTTTGTTTTAAAGAAGCATTTTAGGGGCGCCTGTGTGGCTCAGCTGGCTGAGCATCCTCCCGATTTCTGTGTGGGTCATGATCTTGGGGTCCCGGGAATGGGTCCCCGTCGGGCTCTGTGCTCAGAGGGGAGTCTGCTTGAGATTATCCCTCTGCCCCTCCCCCATTGTGCTCTCTCTCTCTCAAATAAATACATCTTTTAAGGAGGAGGGGAAGGAGGAGGAGGAGAACCAGAAGGCGGCGGTGACAAACCTTGGCAAAATACTAGAGTCTATGACTGTGGTTTTTACTGCCTGGTGAGGAGGTGCATTTTTCAGTGTCTGTCCTTTATATAAGAGTCTATAGTGAGTAGACCAAATCAGGGTTTTCTCAAAAATTTCCCTTTCCCCCTTACTTTCTCCAAAAGCAAACCTAAACCCAGTGCCTTTGGGGCATTTCTGGTTCCCTAATCAGCCACGGGCAGAGGATGGAGCTCTGGAGTTGAGGTCCGACAAGCCACACAAGGGAACCTGGGCCAAGCCAGGACCAGGATAACTCAGCCCAAGTGCGCACCCTTCAGATCAGCTCTGTGCACATTTAGAGAGTGCCCCCTGGAGCCAACTGCTGCTTACACCTGCCCCTCACTCCCTGTACTGAGTTGGGTCAGTGTATGCGATGCTGGGGTGGCCCCCAGAAACCCTTGAACCCGAGCAAGACCAGCCTGCCCCCACTGGCTTCTCACACCACATGTGCACGCCTGCCCTGCCCAGCACGTCCTTGTGCAGATAAAGGGCACTGGGGGGGTTGCTCACTCAACGGTCAGGAACCTCCAATGAGCACCAGGTTGCTACCGGGGGGGGGGGGGGGGGGAGACCACACCCACTGAGCACCAGCTTGCTACCGTTGGTGGGGGGAGAGACCACACCGCCTGGACTTCATAGCGCTCAGTCTCCTAGGGAGACAACCAGGCAAACCTCACACCACGGAGAATGGCAACAGGAGCGTAAGAGGGTGTGAAGGGTGGGAGAGCCGGCGCCTGACTCCCAGGGAGGGCAAGGAGGGCTTCATGCAGGGGCTGGAGGTGACAGGAGTTTGCCACATGGCCGGAGGGGGAGGGTGCTGGGTGCGAGCTGCCTGGAGGACATCCTGCCTGGGGGCCCAGGAATCTCTGGGACAACCCAATGGAACAGGAGGGCCGGGGCAGGGTCACGGAGGGCTGTGTCCGCACTTTCTCCTGGGGTAAGGACATTGGAGACACCTATTCCTCCCCCCCCCATTATCTGCCAGTAATTGGCCACACATCGCTCCAAGTCCAATAGCAGGGCCGGAGAGGTCACCAAGCAGGTTAGGACACCAAGCCTCCGGGGGCCATGTAGCCAGCCAAGGACGTTCACGCACTGAGACTTCCCTGGGGCCAGTGGGGGCTTTGCTGGGGAGAAGCCGGCAGGGGGGCTGTGTGAGAACAGGAGCAGCTCAGAGGGGCCTAAGCTCTGGAAGCAGAAGAGGGAGGGCAGGCTCAAGAGGACAACTGCCCACGAAGGAGGCCCAGGGCACACCTGGATTTCCAGGTCAGGTGAGAGGGTAGAGGGAGGGGACACTCACTGAGTTGGGCAGCCGCCAAGGGCGCAGCAGGACGGGACAGGGCAGAGGGGAGAGGAGATGAGCTCAGCTCCAGGGAAGCTGGGGCCCGACACGAGGGTGGATGAGTCCCCAGGACACAGACGGAAGTGAAATGGGGCTCTGTGGAGATAAGCGGCCTGCTAGCAGAGGGGTGTGCACGGAAGTGGGAAGGCCTTACAACCATTCGGGTAGGTGACACTCATTGTTCACCTTGGCCAGGACCTGAGAATTAGTGCATTTAACTTACCTTTCAACCCTATTAAGGACTATCATCATCTCCACTTTAGAGATGGGACCAGCATGCGCCAGTCACCTTGCTAACGTCCACTGGAGGAGTTGACGGTGACCGTGGAGCAACGGAGCACCACGCTTCTTCCCTGCCCCCCCACGGCTGGTCACGGCTACCCTGCGGCGTGCACGGTGGTCCATCTCCGCACAAGAACCACGTGCTGATACGTCTGGCTCACTCGCACTTAGAAGGTGTCCCTCAGGCTCCAATGGGGCTGGAACTGACAAGAGGCGCCAAGAGGGAGCTGATCCTCTAGGATGAGCGCCCTTATTAAGGAAAGACGCCAGGAAGCTCGCTCGCTCGTTCTCCCCCTCCCCATGTGCTCCTCCAAGGCCAGGCCCTTGTGAGGACATAGTGAAGGAACCAGCCTGCGGGCACCTTGATCTTGGACTTCCAGCCTGCAGAACTGTGGGAGATCAATGTCTGTTGTGACAGCCCCCTAGGCTGGTGTTTTGTTATGGCACCTTGAGCTAATACAGATTTGGGTATAAATTGGGTATTAATATGGAGTTTTGTATTGCCACCCCCTGCAGGGGAAGACTTTGTACAAAAATGTACAGACCAGGGAGGAGCAGAACGAATGTCTGGATAATGGGGGGTGGGGGTACAGCCCGAGGCAGAACCGGAAGGTGGAGGACTCCTCCCGTGGCAACTGATCCCACTCAGGGAGCACCCCCACCCAGTGGGCCAGGCTGGAGCCATCGCCAGCCCCCCAGCTGGCCCCAGGCAGGAGATGCTGGGTGGGAGACGCTCTGGGATCTGTGCCCCGTCTCCTCCCTGCTCTGCCACTTCCAGCACCCTGTGGGCACACCACCCCCAAGCCAAGCCGCCTCCCACCCCCACTCTCTCTCTCTCTCTGCTGCTTTTGTCCTTCAGCATCAGGACAAGGGCCACCTCCCGAACGCCTGCCGACTGTCCATCCCACTGCTGCCTTGGACGCTCGCCTGTTCCCGGACTCTCCTGACCCTGCCTGATCCTCCCAATTCTCTCTGCGCTCCCAGGCTCCCCGAGGGCAGATGGCTATTTCTGTGTCCCCAGAGCTGTCAGTGCCCAGCACAGAGCAAGCGTCCCATGTAAGAATCTCCCTCATGACTCCGGTGACGTACTAACTTGCACAACATGGGTGGCTTAGAAGGGACACACTGCACAATGACTCGTCCCCATGCATTGTCACAGACGCTAAGGTCCTTGTGGCATTCAGAGCAGAGAAGATGAGTTGGCCCTTTCCTCTAGAGGGGCTCCTGTGATTCCTGCCAGACTCTGCCCATCTCCTCGGGGGGGCCCCCCAGGCCCCTCTCACATCACAGCACGTGCGGGACCGTGGGGCTGTCCCCCTGGCCAGGAGCTCTTGGACAGCAAGCACCTCTGCGTGCCTGGCACCCAGCACAGAAGCCCCTTGAGATCTCTGGTGTGCAACTATGACCCCCTCCTCCCATGCCTCCCCTGGCACGTCAGGAGCACCAGCTCCAGACCCTGACTGTCCGCCCTGTCGGCGCCCATCACCTTCGGTGACAACATGGTCTGAGGACGGTCCTCCATCTTAGAAAGCAGCAAGCCGTCCCCTTGGGCCTTGCTGTCCTTCCAGCCCTGCAGCCTTCTCTCTGCCTACCCGGGAAAGAACAGGCCTCCCCTCCCCGCCCCCGGCTGAAGTCGGAGAAGCCTGGCCTCCAAGGGAGCAATCCAGGGCTTGGACAGATGGCCCGTGAGGTCAGACCACGACCCAGGCAGGCTCACTCAGAATCAAAACATGCAATCAACAGGCAGCGGCTCTTGAGTAACAGTGACCTCATCTGAGAACCACAGCAAGGCCTTCCTGGCAGGGAGCAGGATGAGGGACCCGTGACCATCTCCTGGTCAGCCAGACGACTCTCCAGGTGCTTAGAACTTCGGTGACCGTTCTAGGGCCTGCTCCAGACAGTGGTGTGTTTGCCCAGCACCAAAGCATCTACAGCCTTCCTTCTAGACTCAAAACTCAGTTGGGGGCAAAGAACAAGCCAAAACAAAAGGTGCCTAAGAAAGGCGAAGAGCCTGTAAAGGATGAAGTCCACTGACGGGGGAGAAAACCAGGACCCAGAGAGGTGACCGGCCAAGGTCCAGGACCGGGTCTGGCTACTCCAAGGCGGTTGCGGCTGCGGCTGGCTTGTCCCCGTGGCATTGCCCTGGGGGAGATGGATTAAACCCCGCCTAGTGGGGGCAGCCCTGAGCCCTCCAGTTAATTCTGTCAATCGCTAGTTCACTAGTTCCGTGGGTGCTCTGCAGAAGAATAAGAAAAAGATTTCCCAAAGGAAATCATATCAGGAAAGCCTGAGCCAAAGTCAGTCTGACCAGGTCTCAGGACTGCAGTACTTCTCAGAGCCTTTATTATGCTAACACACACTGTGAATGTCAAGAGTTATGGGCCACAAGCCCTTGACCTCTGTTTGCACAGGGCTGGTTACAGAACAAGGCTTGGAAGCTCTCGTCTTGTCTAGGAAGTCATGGGGACCCACCCGATTCTCAAGGGGCCTGGAGATAATGAAGCGTATTACATAAACAAATAAAGCTGACTTTCCTCCTCCCTGAGATGAGAGGCAGCGGGCTAATAATGCACTGCGGATGGAGACGATGAGTGGTAACATCTAGTTTTAAGTAACGTGAATTTTGAGTAGAAGCAAGCATCTTGATCGCTATTTTACTGTGAGCTCAAATCCTTGTGCCTTAAAGACCAGGTTTTTATGTAGAAAAGAAGCTCTCTACCTTAAGTCAGCTCCTCAGTCTAGGACCCTACAAGTTACCTGCTGGGAAGTACGATCAGCTGATCAACAAAAATAATTTTTTATTAGCATCAGCAAGAGACTTCAGTGTCACCGACAGATTGCATTTGGAAAAGTATTTTTGCTAAGTTCCAATCTGTAAAGATCTGTGTTCCTCCTGAAAGGATTTGCTGGCCTTAATTGTTTGTCCTAAAAGGATTTGCTGCTTTGAGCAGGTTGGAGCAGGTTGGAGCAAACCCCAAGCAAATGGCTCCTTTTAGCCAGGAATGGCCTATTGAGGTATAGGGACGCTCCCCGCCCCCCCCCCCCCCCCTGCAAGGCTCATGAGAGAAGAGCCCTTGTGTTGAGTGGACCCCAGCAGGGCCACACAAAGCTAAGCCTGACATATAAGCTGCCAGGGTCCACAAAACAGCCAGACTCAGGAGAGTGGGCACTGAGGACAGACAGCAAAGCCAAGGAGCAGACCACAAGCCAAAAGATACAGAAAGTCCACCTTGAACTCCAGAGCCAGAGGATCACCCCATTCCTGGAAGCATGCAGGGCTGGGGGGTGGGGGCGAAGCAGGGCAGACATGAGAAAGAGGGAAAAGGAATAAAGGTGATGATAGGTCATATGGCTATCGTGACCCAGGTGCCAGGTTGTTACTCGAGAAATCCACCATGACCCGATTACCACCACACCCCAAGGACCAGACTGAGAGTCCACCTTCCCAGGGACATGCAGGCGTCACACCAAGCACACTCACGGCAAACGTTATGACCTACTCTTTAAATATTTCATTTTTTCCTTCAAACCTGCAATGTAATAAGGGGAAGTTATTATATTGCATGAACACACGAAGCCAAGTTCAGATGTGGGAGCAGGAGCATTTCCATTCGTCAATTTAAACAAGCAAATAAAAAAGCCTTTTATGGTTCCCAAGAGGGAAAAACTATGAATCGATATGTAACAAATGAGCCATGTTAGATACAGAATTTACACTCCCATTTTCAGTGTTCGTACATAGAGTCACACGTTCCGTTGACTTCTGCGGAGTTCAAACGCCTAATTCTAAAGTCTCCGAAGTCACCAAGCTTGTGTCTTGCACATTTTCAGCGCGCTCAGATTGTACGTACACAATTAATGGGCCCGAATGTCTCTGGACTCTGGGGTCTCTCCTACAGCACAGGAGAGACAGAAATTCCAAATGCGAACACATGACCCAGAGCATGTTCAGTCTTAACTGTGTATTTACTGGGCACAACTTAAAGACAAGTTTTGAGGCTTTTCCCGGCCCCTGAAGGCATTTTCCAGCCTCATCTGGGGAGAGGGAGAAATGGGTTGGGCTGGGTGGGGGTGGGGACGGGGGTGGGGGACGGGTGGAATTTTCCATGCAGGATAGAACACAAGCTGATAGAGAAGGCGGGCAGATCAAACAACCCCGAGACCCTACTGACCCCATTCTCCCTGCAGGTTTCTACGGGGTAAAAAATGCCAGATGTTCTCGAAATGCCACAGCCAGGACCATCCACAGGCCAAGGGGCAAGTCTTCAAGCCAGCAGTCCTGCTGAGCTCAAAACGGGGGGTACAGCTCTGCCCAACGTGTCCATCTAGATGCTCCATGGGGCTGGGTCCCTGCACCCTCGACAGGGCGCGCAATGTGCTAGAACCGGCTGAGAGAGGCCTGGGTAAGAACACGCCAGTGACCTACCTCCGTTGGCCAGGAGGTTCTCCGGAACCTTCCCCTTGGCGTCTTCCATGACTTCTACCACGCTCTGGGCCATCTTCTTTATGAGGCTTTGGGGAAAGAACACAAGGCAGTTGGACTGGGAACGTGCCCTCCGAATCCTTTTGACACTTTCCCCCCCCGGGGGTGGGGGGGATGGGGGAAGGAATGGGCGCCACCCTCTGGGGACTCTTTGGCAATATGTAGGCAGAGACTTCCTATGTGCAGAGCCCTTGAACCAGTATTTCCACTTCTGAGAAACTATCTTAAGGAAATAGGGTGAAGAAAAACCTTCTGAATAAGATGTTCTTCACAGCACTTGCTGACAGAAACACACAGGAAGCCACGGGAAGGTTCAACAATAGGGGATTGTTGGAAGCAAATGGAGGTCTGACTGAGGGACTGTTGCTCACGCACTGGAAAGGTCTACAAAGAATTCCTAATACCGTGGAATAAGGCGCATATTATGTTACGTGGAAAAGAACCAAGATACAGATTTATACGGACAGCACGGCTGGACCTACGTGGAAATGTTCTTCCCACCTTATGTATTTTCAATGATAATCCATAATGATAATTCAGTACTGACTTAATGAGGAATGTAATTCAGTATGCTTTTATCGTTAGAAAATCAGAACCTGTAAGTCTCCACTGAGGGCTTCAGAAAGTACGAGGAAGGATGGTGAGCCGGCAGAATATACCGAGCTGTCAAATCACTGTGTCGTATACCTGAAACTAATGTGACATGTGAAGATCCGAAAAAGAATAAAACAAAAGCGTCCCCCCCTCCCAAAAAACCCAAAAACAAAAGTCTGAGAAAAGAAAGGGAAGGGCAGGATTCCAAGGCAGAAGGACTCGAATTCACATGGCTCTACCAATTACCAAATGTATCATTTTTTGTTTATTTTGTTTTCAAATTTTAACTGGGCTCCACACCCAAGCTGGGACTTGAACTCACCACCCTAAGATCAAGAGTGGCATGTTCTACCACCAGAGACAAAGAGGCGCCCCCTGCAGTTTTTTTTCCTTTTTTTCTTTTCTTTTTTTAAGATTTTATTTATTGGGCGCCTGGGTGGCTCAGTTGGTTAAGCGACTGCCTTCGGCTCAGGTCATGATCCCAGAGTCCTGGGATCGAGCCCCGCATCGGACTCCCTGCTCTGCGTGGAGCCTGCTTCTCCCTCTCCCACTCCCCCTGCTTGTGTTCCCTCTCTCGCTGTGTCTCTTTCTGTCAAATAAATAAATAAAATCTTTAAAAAAAAAAAAAGATTTTATTTATTTATTTGTCAGAGAGAGAGAGCATAAGCAGAGGGAGCGGCAGGCAGAGGGAGAAGCAGGCTCCCCACTGAGCAGGGAGCCCGATGCGGGACTCGATCCCAAGACCCTGGGATCATGACCTGAGCCGAAGGCAGTCGCTTAACCAACTGAGCCACCCAGGTGTCCCACCTTTTTTCTTTTTTAAAAAAATAATCTCTACACCCAAGGTGGGGCTCACACTGACAACCCCAAGATCAAGAGTCACACGCTTTTCCCACTGAGCCAGCCAGGGGCCCCCAAATGTATGATTTTGGTCAAATCTGTTTAACCTCTCTGTGCCTTAGTTCTCTGTAAGATGCAGATTATACCCATTTTGCAGGATTATTATAAATATTAATATAACTAATCAGACTCCAAGGGTCTAGCAGCAGAGTGTCTGCTCCTGGAAGCTGAGCACTGAGAAGTCCTCTGGAAAACATGCCGAACTAGGACCAAAGTCAGAAAGCTCTCAAGATCCAAATCCTTGCCTTAGGCCACCTCTCCACCTGCCCCCACCCCCAGGAGGGAGGCAGCTTTGCAGGGAGCCTGGATCAGGTCACTGAGTTCCAGATGGGGAACCTGGCCTTCTGCTGTTGCAGGGACTAGCCATGCTGGCTACTCAGAGCATGAGGCCAGGGGGCTGGGGACCAACACAGGAAACTGAGGCAGAAAGGCACTGAAAGGTCCCAGATTCAAGGAAGCGAGGGAGGGAGAGAGAGAGGAAGAGAGGGAGGGAGGGAGGGAAAGAGGGAGGGGGAGGGAGGGCTGGAAGGGAGAGAATGATGAGAGGAGGAAGTGAAGAGAGGGAGGAGGGAGGGAGGAAGCGGAGAGAGGGAGGGGGGAGGGACAGAGGGAGGGAGAGAGGAAGGAACTTGTTTTCCCATCAGAGTAGTATGTATTCATGGTTAAAATCTGAAAAATACCCAAAAAATGAAAACCATACTCCTCTGCCCAAGAGAAAACACACACTTTGCATTCTGGACTATTTCCAAAGCCTTAACATGTCCATAGCTTATGTGAGCTGAGATTTTCTTTTGATTAACACCTACCACTTTAGTGGAGTCTACCAGGTACCAAATCTCTGTAATCATTACCTCATTTAACCCTCACAAACATTCTTGAAGGCGAGTATTATCCCATTTGACAGATGAGGCCCAGAGAAGTAAGTTGACCCTGTTCACCCACCCGGTCCATCTGAGGACTCCGAGGCTCTCAGCCACTCGGCCGCGCTGCTGTCTGCAGTCACTGAGACCCATCCTGGACTTAAATCTCTACAAATGTGTTGGCATTTCCTAGAACACTAGCTTTGTACCGCACTAATTATAACAAATTATATTTACCCTACTCATTAGCTACCCAACTAATCTCATTCTGTTTCCTCAGCTGTCAAATGGGGATGGTCCTGCTCTTCTCACGGGTTATCTGTGGAGTTCGATGTAAGCCTGCGCTGTTCCAGGAGCCCGGAGTTCGTGGCAACATCAGATGTGCCCTAGGCAGCCTGGTGGGCCGCATGCGGGTCTTGCCTCTGGCTCATGGAGAGATTCGGCAGGAGACCGGGGAGGGTGGGAACCATGAGTCTGGTTCCCTCTCAGTTCCCAGAACCTCTCTCCGCTCTTCTCCTCCAGCCTGGGGGTGTGACAATGCCTCTCCATCCGCCTGGGTTTGTACACCATCCCTTGGGGGTCACCTACAGCCCACACGCGACTGCTCGTCCCTTTATAAACAGACTCTCCTCAAATTCTGTGCGTCTTCTGTTAGCTGTTAAGACCCTGACTCGCTCAGTTCATTTATTCATGTGTTCGCTCATTCATTCAGCAAATTCCGTATGTTAAGCAACTGGGTACCCAGCACTGTTCATTGTGCTGTGAACTGAACAAAATCCCTGCTCTCAGGAAGCTTCTATTCTAATGCTGTCAACAGTTCCTCTTTATCACTGCTCTGGTGGTGCATCAGGTCGCCACCTCCAAATCCTGTGGCACTTTGAGTAACTGTTTACCTAAAGGTAGTAGTAACTCTCACCCCTTCCCCAATGCCCGATGCACAGCTCAAGAAATGTTTGTTGAGCGAATAAATGAATTCTGGCACTCCCCGGCACCCAAATGCCACACATGCTTGCTTCCTCAGTCAACCGCAAAACAGAACTCACTCATCATTTTGTTAACGACTTCTTGCTGCTCCCGATTCTAGGCCGGACGGAGCTTTTAACCGTAACAAGATGGCCACACGCGTGCCCTCAGGCGTGTTCACCACCGCGGAACATCTCAGAATAACATGGTCTGATGAAGTTTAACTACTGGGAGGCTCCCTTACTGCACAGAACAAAAGGGGCCCGGACGTAGCTGTGATGACTAACAACAGTCCTCAGCCAACTGTGATCTTACTGAATCAGAATGTTTTTCTCATCAGAAGGAACCTAAGAGACTACGTGACGTTTTACTTTTCTGACTCCACGGTTCACTGTGAACACATTTCTGTGAACACAGCTCCCCGGTTCCTGGGATCTATCGCATGGTATTTTGCTGAGTGGCTGTATCGTAAGTATTTCCCTACTCGTGGACACGTGGGTTGCTTCCCCCGTGATAGGATGTTGCAACGATACCCGTATTTTGCCCACTTGTGTAGGCAGAATGAGCTGTTAAAGAATAACTAGTGGAATACAAGGTATAAACATTGGTAATTTTAACAAACAGGCCAAGCAACTCTCCAAATACGCAGAGCCGGCACACACCCCCACCAACATTGGGCAAGAGTGCCTGCTTCCCTAAACCGTCGCCAACATCAGGTGTCATGAATGTTTCATCTCTGCTGATCTGATAGCTGAAAAATTATATTGCATTGTTGCTCTGATTTGCATCTCTTTGATCATCACGGAAGCCAGACATCATTTCCATAGGTTCGCTGACGCTATAAATGGTCTGTTTTCTTCTTCTGTGAACAGCATGTTCGTGCCCTCCTTTGCTGGTTCTTCTGTTGGTTTTGTTCCTTTCTTAAAAAAAAATACTGGGGCGCCTGGGTGGCTCAGTTGGTTAAGCGACTGCCTTCGGCTCAGGTCATAATCCTGGAGTCCCGGGATCAAGTCCTGCATCGGGCTCCCTGCTCCGCGGGGAGTCTGCTTCTTCTCCCTCTGACCCTCCCCCCTCTCATGTGCTCTCTCTCTCTCTCTCTCATTCTCTCTGTCTCAAATAAATAAATAAAATCTTTAAAAATAAATAAATAAAAATACTGACTTGTAAGGGCTCTTAAGTATCTCAGGAACTCAACTCTTGAGGAAGTTCTTTGAACTGGGTAACATCCCCACTTGAAAGGTGAAAACATGAAGACTTACATTGCTGAAAGTCACCCTGTACAGGGTGACACATGTCAAAGCAGAAACAGATCCCAAATCTACCCGACTCCAAAGTCCCTGCTCTTCAACGCTAGTTTAAATTACACTCGGCACTTTCCTCTAAAGCACTTGATGAAGATGTATACTAATCCGTAAGGGAGGATGTGCAAATCGTATCTTTAATTAAAAAAGCAATGTGAACACTGTGTAATCTTTTTTTTTTTTTAAGATTTTATTTATTTGACAGAGAGAGAGACAGTGAGAGAGGGAACACAAGCAGGGGGAGTGGGAGAGGGAGAAGCAGGCCCCCTGCTGAGCAGGGAGCCTGATGTGGGGCTCGATCCCAGGACCCTGGGACCATGACCCCAGCCGAAGGCAGACGCCCAATGGCTGAGCCAATCTTGACTGGGGTCTTGGGTACATCACTGTCTGTCTCGCTGATGTAACTAGAGG